CAAACTAGTTCTTTTTGGTTAACCCTTAATCTCTCGTACACTGAATCTCTTTCGACTAATCCGACCACCTCCAAACGCGAGCGAGAAAAAGAAGGAAGACTGTATCGTTTAAGGTTCTTCTGCCTTCGTTTCGGGCAGTTTCTCTGCCAGTGACCGGTTCCTCCGCAAGCAAAGCATCTGTTGTTTGTTCTTTTCTTTATCTGCAAGCAACTGCTCCCGTGAATCTTCGTCCAGGGTGAGTAACGCGCGTCACAGATGACTCGTCAGCGTCACTGCGAGAACCAACGGATCCCCATCTTGGCCAAGTTTCAGTGTCCGGAACTTCTGCAGCGCCTCTTGTCTGTCCGCAGGGCTGTCGTACTCGCACATGAGACATGGGACAAGAACGTCGAGAGTCTCGTGTGCGAGTTCGAAAGCCCTGCGGAAAGACAAGAGGCGCTGCAGAAGTTCCGGACACTGAGACTTGGCCAAGATGGGGATCCGTTGGTTCTCGCAGTGACGCTGACGAGTCATCTGTGACGCGCGTTACTCACCCTGGACGAAGATTCACGGGAGCAGTTGCTTGCAGATAAAGAAAAGAACAAACAACAGATGCTTTGCTTGCGGAGGAACCGGTCACTGGCAGAGAAACTGCCCGAAACGAAGGCAGAAAAACCTTAAACGATACAGTCTTCCTTCTTTTTCTCGCTCGCGTTTGGAGGTGGTCGGATTAGTCGAAAGAGATTCAGTGTACGAGAGATTAAGGGTTAACCAAAAAGAACTAGTTTGTTTGATCGAAACAGGGGCCGCAGTTTCGTTGATAGACAGAGATCAGTGTAAGGAAATAAGGCCGTGCACATTAGCAGTTCAGACGGTAGGAGGACATCCTTTGCACATTCTCGGCGTTTCAGACTACGTTGTAGAGATTGGAGCAGGGAAAATACGATATCCGTTTATTGTAACTTCTGATATAAGACGAACGATTTTGTGAGCAGACTTTCTCAGAGAAGTAGGAGCTGTAATCGATATGAAGAATATAAAAGTGATCACAAAACACGGGCAATTTGCGATACATGAGAATAGTGAAGTCGCTGAGGTGGAAACCACAACCATTGTTCCGCAAGATGCATCACGTCTAACCACGTTGATGAGTAAATATGCCGGCTTATTCACTAGTGATGGAGACCCGTACGGTTATTGTGATAAGGTAAAGCATAACATCCCATTGAAGGATCCGGGAAGACAGTCTTTTCATCGCGACGAGTTCCGGTTCACCTAGAAGAAGAAGAAGTTAACCGACAAGTCAGAGAAATGTTAAACGACGGAATAATCGAAGAAGCTGACAGCCCATACAGTTCGCCAATCCTTTTGGTAAAGAAAGCTAACGGGAAGTATAGATTTTGTGTCGATTTCAGACAGCTGAATAGCCTCACCAAAGTAAAACAGTGTGCAATGCCTACCGTAACAGAAACCCTTGATCACCTTCATAAAGCCGAGTTATTCACCGTGTTCGACCTAAGATCGGGTTACTGGCAGATCCCAATAGCAGAAAGTGATTGAAGTAAAACAGCTTTCACAGTTGGGCAGAAACAATACCAGTTTAAACGAATGCCATTTGGATTGGTAGGTGCCCTATTTACATTCAGAAGATTAATGACCTTATTACTGAAGGGTCTGAATAACGTAGAAGTATATGGAGATGACTTGGTGGTGTATAGTGAGACGGAAAGCGACCATATAGACAACGTCGAAGCTATCTTAAAGAGAATTGATGACTTTGGACTGCGGACTAATAAGAACAAGTCCCAAATAGCCAAAAGCACGGTTGTCCTCCTGGGTTACAAAGTGGGAAATGGAGAAATACGGCCATTACCTGAGAAAATCCTGACGGTAAAAACCAGCGAAGTGCCAAATTCAAAGCGAAAGCTGAGACAGTTTTTGGGAAGAGTGGCATTCTACAGCCGATTTGTCAAAAATTTCAATGAGATAGCAAAACCGCTATATACGTTGCTGAGTGACGCGAAATTCATGTGGACGGAAGAGGCACAGCAAACGTTGAGGGAATTAAAGAGCAGTTAGATGGTCAACAGATGACGTTGAAACTTCCAGCGCCGGGGAAGCAGTTCACAGTTTCGACAGACCCCAGTGATTATGGTATAGGTGCTGTTTTAAGACAAACGGATGGGGTTGTTGAATACGCTTGCTCCGTGTTGACACTTGCACAACAGAAGTATTTCGCGGTGGAAAAGGAGTGTTTAGCCATTGTATGGGCACTAGAAAAATGGAGACCTTATCTGATCGGCCGCCGATTCCACATTGAGACCGACCACAAACCTCTTTAGCGGTTGAAAACAGCACGGGATCCACGAGGGAAGTTATCACGATGGATGTTACGCCTACAATAGTATGACTTCACGATTAGACATATTCCATGAAAAGAAAATGTAATAGCTGACCATTTGTCGAGATCAGATAATGAGACTGAACTACCAGAGGTAGCGTATGCAGTAAACGCTTTGGAGCAAGATCCCGTACAACTTGTTCGCCACCAGAAGTCGGATCCTACTCTTAAGACAGTCATTCAGATGATACGTGAAGGGAAAGAAATTGAAATGGCAGCAGAGAGTAGAGAGTTAAAGACGCTACTGCAGCAAAAAAATAGACTCAAACTAAACGCCGGCGTCCTAACTTGGTAAGACAGTGATGGTAGCTGGGTTACAGTGACACCAAAAAGCCTTCGTCGTGGGGTCATTCAAGAATGCCACCAACTAGCCCATTCAGGAGTTGCACGAACATACGACCTAGTGAGCCAAAGTGCGTACTGGCCAAACATGAGAGGCGATTTTGCGAACTACGTACTCGCTTGCCCACAGTGCCAATTGATGAAGGGTGATCGGGGCATTCGACTACAGCTACAAACGATACCCGTAACGGCGGTTGGTGACTTATGGTCCGTGGACATAATGGGTCCTTTCCCTCAAACAGCCAGTGGAAATCAATACATTTCAATGATGACGGAACACGCCACGCGGTGGGTAAATGCTGTAGCGATTCCAGATCAGGGCGCCAAGACAGTAACCGAGGCGGTTATTCGACATATTGTGGCGGATCATGGTGTACCAAAAATGATATTGACAGATCTAGGCCCCTGTTTTGAAAGTGAGGAGTTCAAGACTCGTCTGGAGGCACTGGGTATTAAGAGGATTAGAGCGACTCCGTATCATCCGCCGACAAACGGCCTAACCGAGAGGAATAATCGTACACTCGAGGAATGGCTAGCTGCGAAAAGAGGCAACTGGGAAACTGACTTACCGTTGGTATTACTGGCACATCGTGCCACAATACAAGGGACAACAAAAAAATCACCTTTCCAGCTGATGTATGGGAGGAAACCGCGCTTACCGGTGCACTATAAGACTTGGCCACAACCACAAAAATGGAACAATAAGAGATGGACAAGTGAGCGGAAACAAGCTATTCAGAATGTACAAGAGAAGCGAAAGATAGACATCGAAAATTCTGGCAAGAAACAAATCAAAGCTTGGAAGCTGTTTGAGGTAGGCGACCAGGTGAAATGTAGAAAACGAGATTATACTACCGGAAGTGGACCAGGATCAGGAAAGCTTCTGCCGAAGTGGGAGGGACCATATGTGGTCACATCGAGACGCGGTCCAATGTACACAATAAAGAGAGGAGATAAAGAGAAAAAAGAGTAAACGCCAGTCTGCTACAAAGATGGAGACAAGGATATCAAGACGAGGAACCTGGGGAACAGCAGGATGAAACGTCTGTGCGGCGATCAGGGCGGTTACAGGAGAGAGTGGTGAGTGCTACTTATAATCCGATATAAGTAGTATATCAGAAACGAATTCAGAAAAGTAACAATATGTTTTGCACACTGGAAAGAGCAATCAAAGAAGCGAACCATGAGAAGAATGTTGCCATATGATGCAGAATCCAAGAAGCTATCGAATGTGACGATATTCCACCAATTCGTCAAGGATGTGGTAAATGATGTGCAAATGGCGGTTTGAAAATATGGTATACCAAATTTACCTATGTACCATACGTTTCACGAAATAAACATCCATTCCAGCCTCCTCGGTCTTTTCTTCTTTACATATTCACTCTATTTCTTTGATTTGGATGTGTGCTAATGCTCTCATTGATATTGTTATTTAGACTTATTTTCACAGTCTTACTTCTGAACATTTCAACTTAACGAAAGGAACATCTAAGATAACAGGCGTTTCACGAAGTTTCCTTTTGTAAAATTATGTAAGAAAGGGGATTAAATCGATCAAAACAGTTTCAGAATTTTAAATACAGAAATGATTAAGAGATGTATTATATATATATATATATATATATATATATATATACGGAACAATTGCTTATGTTAGTATGTCATTGTTAGCAGGAACAGAATGAGACTAGGAAAAATTATAAGTGGGAAGACCAGGATATCGACACTAGTTTACACGGTTGATAGCCGTTAATCTTAATTGTTTTGGGTAAGTATAAACTTTATTGAATTAATTTCACAACATAAACTTTCAATGTACAAAACCGATGCTTATACATACATCATGCTTTTATGTAAGTTTTAGAAATATTATTAATCTAAACCCGCATTCTCTTTATCAAATATTGTTTCTGTTTTTATTGTCAACTTTGACAATACACATGTCACTATTCTAAGTCGACTGTTGGTTACATCTGTCTAGATGAAGGCAATTTCTAGCGCTTTGACTTCAAAGATAAAAGAGATCTAAACAAAAATGATCAGTAAGAGTAAAGCACAAAATCTCTTCGATACCGGATTGTTCTGTAAAAGATAACCCACCAGAAAACAAAATTTCAAATAACCAACAACATAAATGATTACAGGATTAGTAAAATATGTTTAGAAAGTTTAGTTCACAAAGAAGTGACTACTCATAAACGATGCGCATTTAACACTATATATATATATATATATATATATAATTTTTTAATAAATAAGTAACTAACAGACTAACCAATTGAATCCGAATGGGGTAATACAGTTTTTAATAGATCCATTGTAAAATCTTTATTAACATAAGATGCCATTTCAAAGTGAATTAATGTTTCCGATGGTAATGAACTGAGAAATAGATTTAATTCGTTTATCCGAGACGTCCTTATTTCTATTTTTGATCAAAAAAATAGAAAAGAAATTAGAATATTATTTTAAAATAAATATGAATTAACGAGTTACAAGTAGAATAGAAATATGTATATTTTAAGTTGAGCAGGGAAATATCAATAGTGAATAAGTATTAGAAAGAATTATTTAATTCAATTTTAGATTTTCCCGTCGATTGATTGGATCGAAGTGCTCGGTCTCAGGTTGACATGTCGGCTTCTTGTGCAGATGCTTCAACGATGTCTGGGCATGTAATTAGAAGTCAATTGGTGGATGGTGACTAGCAGTGGAATCCAGGATGCGCATTTCGTCCTATTTGGGACTCGTCATCTGGGTGCGCCTGCATTCCGCAGTGATGTTCAACCAATCGACGGGAAAATTTAAAATTGAATTAAATAATTAATATGACCCGTTGCACAAGAGGTGGCTCTCGTGGCCCAAGTGATCTAGTGGATAACGCTTTGGCGTTTGAAACTATGGGCACTGGGTTCGAGCCTCGGTGGGAACATCATCACTCACGGTGGAATGCAGGCACATCTAACTTATGGATCCCAAATAGGACGAAATGCGCCTCGTCGATTCCACTGCTAGTCACCATCCACCAATTAATTAGAAAGAATGTTTAATTGTAAAAGAAATCATTCTTTACTGTCTTCTCATTGTAGAGTAATAATCACAAACACCTGCAATATAAGTCGCTGTTTTATTTTGTTTTTTCACTTTAATTTTCCCTCATACAACTGGACTATAGAAAAAGTACATGAAATATTAAATTGGACATCATTGTGAATTCTGTACAACCATATGATACAGGTAAATATGCAGTATGTTTGAAGTAACTACCTTCTACACTACAAAACATGTTTAACTAATGGATATTTCCACCGATTACAAATAACCACTGGTAACAATTTATAAAACATATTGATCAAGTTTAAGGTCACAATAGGTCTACAGGTAGATAGGTAAATAAAGGTAAAGTGACTGTAAAACAGACCCCTAACATAAACAACTTTAAAATTACAACAATTTACTCAGAGAAAAAAATAATAATAGGGTATTGCTGCAAATTGAGTACTCTTCAAAAAACAGCTATCGAAGGCCCTTTAACTTTCCACGACATAAGTAAGCATCGTCATGTTAGACCAATAAGTTATTTATTGTTAGATATACACAAATTTAATCAGTAAATATGTGAGTTTTATTCAGAACTTTTTGAATAGTTGAAACCTTATGTGAAACTCTTTAAGAAAGTCTTTGGAAAAATCCGGTTGAAACATTTGAGAAAACATCTTAATTACACAAATGAATAAAATCTTATTGAATATTATCACTAGATCAGAAAAAGGAATGCTGTAAGGAGCCAGGAGCGTCGGTGACACAGCTGTAGAATGCTCACCGACCATGTGTTTGGGGTTCGATCCCCCGCCGCCAATGCACTCCTTTACTCCGTTAAGCCAGTAATGAGACTGGTAAAGAGGGAAGGTTGGGCATGAGGCCAGCAATCGCACCCCAAAAAAATAAACACCACTGTTACCGGAACTTCAAGCCCTTATCTTGAAGCCCTATGTTCCACTGGGGACGTAAAAGAATAACAAATGAGCCAAGAAAGTACGTATATATAACGTTGTTTTTTTTCTTCATTCTTTTGCATTCCAGAGTGGAAAGCAGAACTCTCGGGTTTTCAGTAACGGTAGTGTTATTTTTACAATGTAGTCTCACTCCTAGCCTTTCCTGTTTTCCAAGCGTACCATCAACCAGTAAACTAGGCGAAGTTCAGCAGTGTACCAGCCGGCAACTGAACCCGAACCACATGCGTGGTAGGCAAGCATTCCACTACTGCATCACCACAAGCACATATACAGCATATTAAATCTTTACCCGTTTGAGATATAATTGCTGACATTATTCAAGCGACAAGTGGTTAAATTATTATACAGAAATTAATATGGCTTTAATATAAAACATTAGTGGCAGAATTTTTTAAGAAAGACTAAATATTACACAATGAACACTTACATTTATATGCAGTTTGCAATGAGCCATACCTATTACATGAGAACTAATGATACAACGTCGACAGGAGGAGAGGTTTTCTTAGATGTGAGTTAATGGTTGTAAGTCAAGCAAAAGAAACAATGAATTGCAACAAATGGAACATGGTAATTAACGGCACTTCAGATACATACTGTGATCAGTCTTACAAATAAGCTGAAAAACTATCATTGTATAAAGGTTAGCCAGTGGTAATATACTTTAATAAGTTACAAGTTTCAACAGGTCCAATTCATGTGAAATATACATACACATAACGCTAACATCTACAAAACTTAACTTTAAAAGTTAACTCTACTACACAGTATACATTTTATAAACCAATCGTGGAAACATGTTTTTTTATTGATTAGAAATACTCAAACACGCCGCTCAACCATTCTGTCTCATATCTCTAACCCTCTAACGGTACATTTTGTATAGACTTAAAACTCCGGCAAAATTAACTATTTACCAATCAATCTTTTAATTCGACCTGGTTTGATTCTATCTACCAGACTGCTCTGTCTTGGAATAACTCCAGTTTTGATTTTTCTGTCAGTTTTATGGTATTATTAATAAACTTATAACCGTTCAGTCTGACAAAGAACTTATTGAAAATAATTGTTGTCTCATAGCCTTCTTAGTTTCTTTTTTAATACATTGTCACCATTTAAATTCTAGAGAATTTATAAGATAATCTATCAAATCAATAAATTATAACTTACTAGTCTCTTCTACTGATAGGATGTTGTCCATTACTTGTAAACCACCTAGTACAAACAAATCAGGTATAGGTGGTGCCTCTTTTTTAGTTGCAGACTCTTTCTCTTCAACAGCAGATTCAGAATTATGACGTTGCCAAGTTTCAAGTAATCCCGGCCATAAACCACTAAGTAAAGGATTCTCTACATCATGTACAAGAATATACCTAAAATTAATGCATAATAAATTCCTTGGTTAACACAGAAGTCTAGATTGGATTCAATCAATTAATAAATTATCAGTTCATTTATCTGGAATATAATCAAAGAGGCACTGTGCTCAGAATGCATACACAGACTTTGAGTGTAAATGATTTTTTTCAAAGAATGAAAAGTTGAAGTATCAATTGAGGTAATTATCTACTTATAATGATTTCTGTATGCTGACGTACACAGAAGACAATTATTTACAGCAAAAACTACTCGACAGTATATAGAACTACTGATAAGAAATAGCCTACACACAACTCATGCAATAAAAATGAAGTTTTTACGACAGGACTACGTCATTACATATTCAGAATACCATTAAACATGAAAATTGTTTACACTAATATGCATGTAAAAATTTTAAAGCATTCTTTTACACCAATTTCTTTGTAAAAATAAATAAATAAATATTTGGAAATTATATATATTTTTGTCTTTTTACTTATTATACTCTTTCTTTTCCGATACTATGAACGTGAACTGACTTATACCCGATTTGGTTTTACATGACTGAAACTAAAATCAGTCAAAATAAGGATGAATTTCACTCATCTTCACGATTATTACTGTATGCACTAATGAAACTAATGGTAGACAGAAGAGAAATAAGTAACATCTATCATATTGCTGGATGGCAACTAATCCAGAAAGTCAGATTAATTAAAGTAGCTTACTATGTAAATATAAAGCTATACAAACTAAGTAGGTAGAAAGACTGCCTTGAGAAGGCGGTCTCAGTAACAGATCACCACTTTTATGATTTACATTATATACAAATAATCAGTTACATAATAGCAGGTTACCACTTTTGAGTGCTACTAAAAGGATAGTTTAAGCGACAAGAGAATCTGTGAGTTAATTAACTTGCATGTTAAATTTTCAAGCATTAACATTAACTCCACTTTTAAACATTTCGGAAATTAGATAATATTTCTAGCTTGTTCATTACATGATAGCTTAGCAGAGAGATATATATGTAACTGATGGAATGTATTTATCCACTCTGGATTTTTCGCTGGAGGTTATAAAATTTAAGAGGAATTATGCTCATTACTGTTACAGCTATGAATTTGTAACCTGCAGAAATACGCCTAGTCATGAACAATTTCTCTTGTTTTTTAAAAACTCCCCCAGATCATATCTATGAAATTATCAGAAGCCTTATGAAGGTTTTGACAATCAGGCAAGAGAACTGTAAGTAGTGAGAAAAGCAAGCCTTAGTATAGCAAAATATTTAAAGTGTGTAGTTGTTTCAGAAAAACTCGAAGCGGAAATAGGAACACCAGTCAATTTTACCCATAATTGTTTTTTTCAAGAAATGGAGTCTTGAACTGAAATATGGAGAATTGTTTATCCTACCATTAAAAGAAAATAGTATAGCGCTAGAGTAAACATAAATTTTTGCTTGATATGTCTATAATTAATTCACTCGGTTGAGACAACTAGTGATCAGATACACACACAGTCACAGACCCCGAGGAAGCTTCCCACTTCAAAAGAAAATAACTACAAAAATCAACACCTAGAACTTGCTTAAAACTTCACGAATATTCTCAAGTCTTATTAGTAGAATAGAATGCAGAAAGACAGTCTTTACTGTGAATAAACTGAAAAATATTTTCTTTAAAGAGAAAACTAACAGACTGTACACTTTTTGGGGCAAATTTTAGGATAATGGGACTTGCTTAACCATTAGACGTGCAATTGATTTTGGCTTCAGTAAGGTAGCTCAATAAACTAATAAACATTACCTATGAACACAAACGTAACACTGTCATCGTCACAACACAAGACAACACTCTTGTATGGCTAGGCAAATGAAAGAGTTGTTGCTATCTTGTAAACAACAAAACTTTAACCAGACAATGAAGACGGGTATATTCAGTGTCAGACCAACGTTTTGTAACCAGTATAATTAATCTCAGTCTTAAGATGGGTGCATGCAAAGATTGGTCATCTGGTTTCGCCTTATCTTTTGATATTTGTGTTCCTATCACAAAAATCAAAGCTAATCTGCTTATAGTAAATAAATCAGATTTATAATTATAATTTACCAAACATTCAATAAACTAATATAGAGCTTCTAATTAACGTGCATTTCATGAAAGATTATAAAAACAAACAGATTACTGATAATATAAATACCCTTTAAATTATACAAAAGGCCAACATTTCGACACTGAAGGAATAAGCTACATAATAAGTACATGTTAAAATGGGAATTATTATTAAGTGACCAGCTCACCGATTAGCACGTGGTGCAACTGAGTCTTCTAATTTGTCTCCTGATTCATATTCCAAAACCAAATGAATATCTTCTTCAGGAATATCAGGTAAACCGAAATCCGGGGGTGCCATTAAAACTGGTGTTCAAAGTAAAATAAAATTCATAAACCATAAGTTTCTAAATGTTTTAAACTAACGAAATAAAGTTTGTAGGTGATAAAGAAATAAGTTTAACTTGTAAATAATGATATATTTTGATCCACAATGAATTAAACGAGTGAAGTTTACGACGAAGTATACCTAAGGAAAGATAATGTACTCATAAAACAATATGGTCTTAATTCAAACTGCAGACCGAATTTCTTTGCTACCTAGAGCTGCATACTTACTCCCTTGCCTAATGATACGATGATTCTCTCCAGCGAAAACGGAAGTAATAGTAACCACTTTGTAGACAAAGTAGTGAAGCTAGGAAAATAAGGATTTCTCACGGTAAATAATAAAAAGACGCCATAAATTCATTAAAAAAGTGTAAATCAGTTGAGATGTTCAACGCCAAGACATATTACTAATTCTACTACGCAGAAAACAGAATTATTCATGCCAGTTTTTTCAAAATTCTTTAGAATCTCGACTATCATACAATTGTGAAAATTCAAGTATATTCCTCCTAGACGCTACAATTTCGAAGGTTTTCTATCAGTAATTACATCATAATATCGGTGATTTACGCTGAAGTCATTAAGTAAGCAGCGTTGAAGTATGGTGTTAGAAGATACGAATAGTAGCATCCAGCACTAAATAAATCACAGGGTGTCCCGAAAGAAAGAATTGTATATCACAAGTGCACGAAATAATCATGTTAACGTAGGCGTTGAAGTTCACCAAAAGTCAATAACTTTTGCACATGTCTTCAGCCCCAGTCATTGCCTTAACTACAAATGCTAGAGGAATCCTTTGTCACAGGCTTTTTCGCCTAATAAGCGATCTCTCCCTCTTAACTGGTCTTTTTCGTTGAGTATGAGAATATGTTCAACACTTGAAGAAGCACTACGTAAAATATTTATCAATTAAATGATCAGTCGATGGAATAAAACGTTAGCATAAAATCTGAATTTTACAGAGTAAGCATACGACCTTTAGCCTAACATACAAAACGAATTCAGAAAATTGAAATATTACCTTTTACTCCTGAAGGTAAATGAGATATTTGTCTCTGAGATAACCGAGCAGCCAAAGCCACCTGCGCACCTTCACGAGCCAATCTGCTAGCCATGACTGGAGCATTACCACCGAGACTCCACCATGCAACGGGTTGAGTTGTAGATGCACCAGTACCAAAACTTTCAGAACCATAAGGATGAGATCCAGTTACAGTTGGGGAAAGTAATTTTTTGCGTAAAACGAAAGGTATCAGCTCGGAAGCTTCATTCACCATCTCTTTGAACAAGGTTACATTGTGAACCACCCTCCTTAAATAACACAAATATCAGCCATCCAAAAAATTATGCATTGAGAATAAACCTGTTTCAGTTGTATGACGGATTTATTTAAATTAGTGGGAAAGAACTGCAGACAGTTAGGAATAATGCAACGAAGAGATGACAGATAAAGCTGGCAATTTCTAATCTCCCCATTTCTATAAGGCTAGTAGTTGCAGCATACCTAAAACTCAGGCATCACTAGAGCATTGTCTTCTGTAAATATAAAACGAAATCAATCAAAACAGTAGAACCTGGAAAGATAAGCTGGTAAGTCAGTATACTTTAATCAGACCATACAATCAAGTCAGCCCTAACACAGTTAAAGTTATTTATAACTCTGAAAAGAAGTACAGTCCTGCACTTAAACCAAGTGGAAGTCGAGTGTATTCCACATATTTTCAAATGGCTGAAATCCCAGCAACAATTTTCTTTTGCTTCGCTCAAAGTATTTACGCTATATATCAGAACTTAAGAATCGGGGTTAATAATACAAAAAAAATGAAATTTGCTGACCACTGACATAAACATGTGGAGTTTTGTGTAATGAACTACGGTGTGAATGATGTTAAGGCATTCAACATAGAAAGCAGTTGAACTAAAAGGTTTGCTTCGACGACACTTCAGATTCGTGACATACAGTGAGTTCATTCATTTTCCACAGACCAAATAACATTAAAACTTTAAACTGTGCCACTACACAAGTTTTAAATGACTCATCCTGTACGTTATAATACTCCAAGTATATGTACCACAGCATACACAACTTACGCTTACCCTCAACAAATCAACATAAAATGGGGAACTCTATACTCAACAATAAGCATTGGAGTAAGGATGCCATAGAGAAGAACTCGTTTTATGAATTAAGGGTGAAGATAGGTCATGAACGCATTAACCCATCAGCCAACATAATACATTCATAAAAAATCTGTAGTCCCGAAAAGTGATTCACATCGTAGATACGGTAGAGCCAGTTTAGAACAGACCGATAATTAAGCGAAGCACAAAAACGACATCTTAGTATGAACAACAAGGGATCAAAATGTTATTTAATAATGTTAACTACTCCACTTACTCAACAGCCGCACCAAGAATAAAAGAGGAGTAAAATTCATTCATAAAATCTTGTATACTATCAATTCTTTGATGCTTAGTGGGGTCACTAGTTTTATTTGCGAATCCAGACAACTTCATCCTTTCAAAAAGAGAAAGTGCGCGAACTCTCAAGTCTACACATCCTCCAAATCCAACTAAAACTTTAGGTCCTGGACTCCTTTGGGGAAGAGGTCGATGAGAATACTCCACATGTGATAATGAGCTTATTACCTACAAGACTATAAAAGTAATCAAAAAAATATCACCTGACTTATATCCAGAGGCAGGTCCTTGCGTAAAATATCACGTAGCCAGTAAGCGATAAGCAGCAACGCGACAGCTGAAATAAATATGGAATTCGCCTTTCGAATCGCAGGCATTTTGGAAGAAATGAACTTCATGTTCTTCTTACAAAAAGGTCAGCATTTATAGGAAATGACTGATCATCCGACATGTTTTGTGCATATAATTATATAGTGAAGAAGAATTGTACAAAGTCCCTGGTTTGTACATCTATTGTGAAATTTTGAAAAGCAACGGTGACACAGGCTGACTGGAGCGAACACCCAGAGTTACGTCACTGCAATGATACAACATTAAAATAGACTTTTGAAAACAATTACAAACAAAGCGCTGATACCGACCTTCACACATCTCCAATCTTCGTGAGCTTGTTAGAATATTAAAAAGTCACTGACTCAGCATCAAATGAAGTACATTTCTTAAATTCTTCCTCTAACATTTTGAATAACATCTTCAGGATTTTTATGTCAGTATATTTTTCGCTGTCAGACAAACTTGTTTGAATAAGCGAAAATTCCTTCTCTACGATCACTTAAAATTAACTATGTCTCATCAGGTGCAGGATGCATATGGAGTGACGCCATGGAAGGGGTTCTCTTTTAAGCATGTTTCGATGGTTTCCGAACGGTTACCAAGGACGTCAAAAGTTCGAAAATTATCTTAAAGTGGAGAATACGAGGCCCGTGAACAGACAAGATGGAAATAAGGAGGAAGAAGCGTAGATGTGCCCTCTTTCCCCTATTTCACATTTTCATGCCAACTATATTCCCCATTTTACTCTATATTCGCCAGATATGCCTCTCTTTCTTATAGCCATATATAATGCGCCGAAACTTTCCATGAACGTCACCTTGTAATTTAGGAGACGAATAAAGAAGGCAAAGAGTGAAATATTTTTTCCTTGCACTGAACAATTATAGGGGTTCTCAAGTTATTTTCCGCATGTTATCCATCTATGTTTTCAGTACCTTCTGTCAACGCGAATGTGTCCCGTTATCTTCAAAGAATTCTGCGAATACGGCAGGAATTCCTTATTAAATAATCCACTGTATATCTAAATTAAATATACCCAAATCCCTAATAAGTGGCATCCCTAACCTGAAGAGTTTATTGCCATTGGTGTTACCTGTGAAAAAGGTAAGATGAGAAGTTCAAAATAAGAAAAGAAGTTTATAGTAATTGGGATCCATGCAGTTGCCTGCTAAAGTTATCCTGTGTTCTTACCAGTGATACATCGTAGAAAACTCTGAAGTCAGAAAGCAACTGAAAGCCTCGACAGTCCCAAAATACGACCTAATATTGCTTAGAATAACTGCCTGGAGAGGTATAAATAGAGTCAATAACTCCAATATAACACAAAACCGATCTATTTATTATATCATAGGGCTTCAACCGGACCTCTCCATTGCGTTCGGTTCTCCGCCAACGTTTTCACCTGGCTCCAAGTCTGCCCCCTTGCTTTCATCTGCTCACCACATGACCTCCTCCATGCCACCTTTGCACTGACAACGGACTCGCCGCTTCCCGTTCGGTTTCCACTAGAGAGCCTGGTGTGTGATGTCACTTGATGGTTTTCTCAGAGTATAGAGAATACAGCTCCGTTTCTTCCTGCATATTTGTTGCACAATAGGTCCCTGCTGGAATGGTTCTCTCCCACAGATCCCTCATTATTGCTGTTCTTTTCTGGCCGGCCATCTGATCTTGAGTAGAATTGAGCGAAGAAAGCTGTTGATGAAAGTCTGTAGTTTGTTCGAAGTGGCTGTCGTGATGCGGTGGCAGGTCTCTGATCCACATAGAAAATAGCACCGACTTCACATTGCAGTTGAAAATCTGAAATTTATTTTTCGTTCTGAGTGCTGCTGACCTCCACACAGACTTTAGAGGGAGATGAAATCTTCCCTTGCCTTCTTGATCCTCGCTTCAGTGATATCCCCATCAGTTAAACCTGTAGTTGAAACTATGCTTCCCAGGTAGGTTGGTAGGCAGAGGAGGTACCTCCCACTTATGATGATTGTTATCTGTTGCTGTTTGCCAGGAATCTTCATCACCCCTGTTTTCTCCATGTTCACCTGAAGTTCCATATTCTCTGGCTGCTCCGAGTTGTTTGTGTGGGTCCATCTTATGCCCGTTTCCTCGCTGCCCGCAGCCGACCAGCCTAGTCTTACTGCCATCTTCACTTTGAATGATTCCGAGAGTTTCCCCTTGTGGATAACCCGGCATACAGCATTATCGTACACCTGCTGGATGAGATGTATAATTGTTGGTGGCACCTCGTAGTAGCAAAGTAGTTGCCAAATTACCCCTCAATCAACGCTGCACTGTCAAAGGCCTTTTGAAAGTTAATGAAGTTGAGATAGAAAGCTGACTACCATTCCAAGCTGTGTTCAATGATGGTCCGTAATGTTGCGATTTGATCGATGCATGACTTATGCCTCCTGAATTCAGCCTGTTTCGGTAGAAATTTTTCATCCAAGTAGTGTTTGATTCTCTCCAGGATGATGCGGGTTAGTATTTCGCTTGGGATGAACAGGCGCATAATTCCGCGCCAATTCTTTCATTGGAGTAAATTCCCTTTCTTTGGTAGTTTGAATAAGTATCCTTTCTTCCAGTCCTCGGGTACTTTGTCTTCTTTCCACACCTTCTCCAGTAGTGGCGTCATCAAGTCCGCTGTTGTCTCAGGCTCCATTTTCAATGCTTCTGCGGTAATTCCGTCTGGTCCTGCCACTTTGCTTCTCTTCTTTGCTCTTTTATTCAGTGTATTGTAGCCTGCATCCAACTCCTGTTGATGCAATGGATAATCTTTTGTTTAACCATCCTTCTTTCTTGTAATAGTCTCCATGTATCTGTAGTCAGCCACTGCTTGTCCTGTCTCTACTTTTCGCCTAGAACTCCCATGCAGGTTTGACTCAACATGGCTTTCAGGTTGTTTCGGTGCTTTTCAACAGTGGTCTAGTGTTGACTTGTGCCTGTGCCTTTCTCTTTATGATTGCAGTGGAGATGTCCTTTGTGGCCTGATCCTTAAGTTTTGAGTATTCAATTTGACTTGTGGTTTGTCTGCAGGTCCTAACTCCTTGAAAGCTTTTAATTTGATTTGGAGTATTCCTTGTACGAGATAGTGGTCTGAGCCAACGTCTGCTTCTCTTCTTACTTTCATGTGCAGTAAGCTGCGTCTCCATTTCCTTTAGCAGTATTGAGATGAAGTCAATTTGGTTTTTGGTTCGCCGTCTGGTGACACCCATGTGGCGTTGTGGATATCCTTGTGCTTTCATACGCCGTCGCCAATCAGTAGTTAATTGAAAGTACGGAAGTCAGTGAAGAGTTCTCCGTTTTCATTCATTTCTCCGATAGCTTCTCTACCCAAGATTAGTTCTCTTCCTGTGTTTTCTGGTCCTAGTTTGGCGTTTCTGTCTCCCATTAGCATTTTAATGTCACCAACTGGAGTATTGTCCAGTTCAAAACCGATCTAACATTTCATACTTTAACTACGAATCTCACTCAAAAGTGGGGGATACTATGGTATACCGATACTGACTACTTGTAAATAGATTTCGATCTCAGTTCTTTTAGCGCTAGAAAGCATCAAGATCGAAGCAATCACGCAGCACAACATGCATTGGGACTAACAACAATAGAGGTCAAGGAGCATCAAAAAATTTCGAAAAAATCATAGTTATATTGAACTAGAATTCTGTTCACAGTAAATTCTCTTGAGAATTTAAACAATGCCACTCTTTCTTCTGCCTTCAATTTTGCCTTAACTATTCTTGCCAAGATAGTTTCAAGGTCTGGCTGGTGGTTGTGTACAACTTTCCATAAGGAAACAAAACTCGTTATAAATGAAATCAAGTTCGACTCAAGCTTAACCTCACAGAACAAAATCTTACCACAAGGAGATACCTGAACGTCATTATAATTCATGGACACTGTAGTTCATATGGTATCTAAGACATTCTTGAACGCAGACGAAGCCTCTTCTTCAACAGAATCCAGGTTGGCACTGATGGCTTGCGAAACAGGTGACGGGAGTGAAAGTCTAATTTCCTGGGTAACCCTGACATAGACCGACTTCAGGAGTTCTAGCAGCTGCCACTCTGGTAACCTTAACATTCATTCATTTCATCGGTAAGCTTTAGAACTATCCATATGCATTCGCATCGAAGGAGTAATGACCACTAGAGCGAACTTCAAGAATATATGTAAGAACCTTTAAAAAGTGGGGTGAAATTAAGAGGATGATCCCTCCTACCCAGAAATATAATATTATTCCTTCAAAATGTTGGTTGCAGAAGTGTGACCTATGCTGCCAATAAAATTCTTATGTATTTAACGAAGAGCCAGAACTCTTAGGTAAACCAAAACCACATGCCTAACTCTCCTCTTCATGTCCTCGAAGACTATCAAAACTATAAAACACAACACCAGCGTCGGTCACCTCAGAAATTTCTCTGAAGCAATTAAAATTTTATATTGCCGTTTATACGGCACGAATAAATCACTTCAGTTTACTCAATCGCATCAATTTGATGTTGGACAATGCGTACCTAAAGTATTTTGACCGCGCGTCCCTCAAAGTGTCCGTTACTAAGAGAAAAGTAATTTTCGACAGGTAATAAGCAGGTATTGTGTGTGTTTTTGAATTAAATCCCAGTTGATATAATTTTTGAAACACTCACAGATGTTCGTTTGTGAATTAGAACTGTGAAATTTGTTTTCAAGCAGGAATCCATACCCATTCTATGTAAATATATAATCTTTTTGCAAGAGTGAATAATAGACACCAAAGTCAAATGACCTTGGTTCGGCCAATCAGGTTCTTCTAGGCGAAAAATGATACTCAATTTACAAGGAAGTGTACATACGATATATATGTAATTAAAGTGAATCATATGCGGTAAATATGTCTAATATGCAGCAAAAACCGGTCCCAGATTCTCATAGAAGTTGTTATAGGCATATCAAACCAATGTATTATCTACTTCTCGCGCTGTAGCAGATACTGGTTGCATATATGTAATATATTACCAAGGGAGCGCTTTGATTTCGAGAAGAAAGTGTCTAAAGAATCACCAGTTATGTATGGCCTACCAACCTTTACAGACTTCCTCATGTGAAGTGGTTGCATCTGAATGTATAACCATCAATAGCCCGACAATACTTTTGCAGAGTCATTATCGCTCCACATATGCTTTTTATTCCTTCCAACCAACACATTTTCCACAGAGAAGTCAAAAACCAAATCTAGGAGACATTTTCAACAAGGTTTATGACTTACAACCATTTGTAATGCTGAGGTATCTGGTTACCCAAATCAAGGTCATTTGACTTTGGTGTCTATTGTTTACTCTTGCCAATTTTTTCATAAGATTATCCAGCGGTCGCAATAGGTGTTCAATTGCTGTTACAGATATTTAAGATGAAGACTTCGATCTTAGTAATTACGTAGTACTGTTGACTACCTTATAAGATTTCTACTATAATCAACCATACCCAAACAAAAAATGTTGGGCTCAATTTTGGAGTGATGGAGTATTCAAGGGAAATCCCGAGGCAATTTTAGGTTTTTTTTAGCGAAAAATTTTGTGTTTCCTCTTACTTTCTCCATTAAGTTTCCCCTTAAACTTTTCATATGGGTTGTTAAGTTGCAAAAAGTTTCAGCATTCTTGAGGAACTATGTACAGCATATCATGCAAACACTTTTATTTTACCTAATTTCATATTTATAGAGTCACCACATGAGTACTAGTATTTCGATCGTACCATTCAGTAGTCCGAAACTTCTGAACACCGATACCTTCGAGTAGCTTTTAAGTACCACTGTGAGGATTTTATGGATTAATGTAGAATATCTTTCAGTTGAATTCTTTTAATATACACCCTGAGTTCCATCGGAGCTGTAATCGTAAATGGAAACATTCAAACTCCAGTAGAATGGTCACACAGTCAAACCACACTGTCTAATAAAGCTTGGAAAGTTATATTATTTTGTCAGTCAGCATCTAAACTAGGATTTTTGACGAATATGTGAACATTTACTTGACTGCTGAATAATATCGCTTTCCTAAATTGCTTACCATCTGAAACCTAATTGTGCAAGGAATGAAATATTTCCTAATAAGTAATTGCATTTAAACGCATTTTGCAACGGTCGACTACTTTTTTAGGCCTGATTATATTATCTGCACACCCAAACTTCAGTGTTTAGATTTGTGCGCAATTGCCACTTGCTTGGCAAATCGTATGTGTTGTAGTAGTGTCTTTACTTTTCTGGCAACAATTTGCAGTGCACATTGTTAATTGATTCTGGGACTCAGTACTGACTGAGTGGTTTCAGCATAAAACTTTGCACATACGTTCAACAGTTTGAGCTGTCATATTGCATTTACCACACAAAGCAAGAGAGTAAAGAGAGATAATAAACTGGTGTTAGGACGAAAAGTAAACATGTTTGTCCTTTCCGTAATGACATTATATTCTGTTCACGTAAACAAAAGGATAGGACAAGAGAGTCCTAAGATAGCCTAATCAGATTCACAAACTGTAACGTAAAGTTTGTATATAGGAACCGTGATCTGCTTAAGCTTGGAATACACTAACAATCCAGTGTGGTCGGTTCTACGATGAGGAAACTCGAAACGTTTTCTTCAATGTCAATGTAGGTTTATTCACGAGCGAAAAACAGTTAAAGATCATTAAGAAGCAATGGACAGCTGTTTTGTCCTCGTTTGGGACTATCCAACAGTGCAGACCTGTGACTTTGAGGCTGCAAAACCAAGCTAGCTTACCATTTGGCTTCTTGGGCCAAAAATAAAATGACCTGTAAATCCTAACTTTTGTTTAGTGTTTATTATTTGCCAGGTTTCTCATATTTAGGTCAGTCTTCTCAGATGAAACGAAAAAGTCGCAGTATTAAATTCTACATTAGTTCACATTTTTTAAGCAACTAAGAAATCAATAATCAAAATTGCTCATACCATATTTGACTACTGTTAATCACATTTCTACTTTTGTAACTAAAGTGAATATAAGTAGAGACGTTTCGATTCAAAATCAACATAGTCGTATTGAAAGTTATTGTTAATCCACCAACAGCAGTTCCATGAGTAGCAGCTGTTTTTGGGTGTCTGTGTAGTTAAGCAGTCTCAAGAGTTGGAGTAGGACGCTAACCGAAACATTTGCAGACAATCAAAAAACAGGGAATTCCAGTTATTTACTTTTGAGATTGACCACCAAGGATTAATGTTCAGTTTATGTTACACAATAAAGTCTGGTCTCAGGATTGTGTAATCACTAAGTCCTTAAGTTTGTAACAAAACTCACTCCTGAGGATGCAAATCAAGCGAACATTTATTAAGAAAACTTCTTGGGATGGAATTGATTCCTTTTGTCAAAGAAGTTAACTAATAGCTTTTGTCTCATCATTAGAGTCATACTGAATTTCTAGATGCGATTTCGAACGGCCGGGTCGCAAGTCCGAACGGCAGATGCCTGTAAATTGTATTAGACAGATGATTTCTTCAATATTCAGACGAAATGTGTGGCCTACTAGCTTATGTGTGATTACTTAGTTGCATCATGACTAAATTTTAGTCGTGTTACAATTGAGTGGACATTTAATCTATAGTATGATAGACATTCATACATAGAATTGGACGCTTGTCATGATTTTTTCTACGTAGTCATTTATTCATTTGATCTCACTTTGTGGATGCGTCTAACTGTCCAAAAATATTTTTAAATAATGATCTGTAGTGTCTAACCATATTTGCCACTAATTGAGAATTGCAAAGTAATTCTTATGTGTTCGCGTTGGCCTGATTTCAATCTGCATTAATTTTAGTCACAAGGATTACAACTGTAAAAATACGCAAGTGAACCACTACAGTGGCTTTCAATCACTGAAGTTCATAGCTGAATTCTCTAACTCATTTTTCATCTCTATACAAAAATTTTAGACTTGTGTTAATTTCTGTGAAATGTCACTTTCTCACATACTTGGAAGTCATTGTTTGCTGTCCATTTGTTCTATCCTTTTAGGAACCGTAGATCTTAAAGGTTACTTTGGGAAAATATAATAAGCCATGCTTTCAGTCGTATTACTGAGTATTTGACACCTGGAATAAAACGCTCTTGAAAATGCTGTTATGACAATCATTAGCGACACTGATTAAAAGACGTAACAGAAGCTAGCAACACACTCTTGTATTCTGTTGCTGAATATTTGCATTTGAGATATCGGACTGTAGCCTGTATAGACAATTATTCATCTTTTGTCAACTGAAAACACCAACAGCAATGACGGAAAAGGCTTATTATCCTTGGACAGGTATTCATTTTGTTCTAATGCGTTTACTTAAGGCCGAGGTGAAAAATTATCAACGTTTCTTGAACGGGCATGTTTGAAAAACTTTTATCATGTCATGAAGAAAAAAATGAAAATAAATGAGTAAGTTATACTTAGTCATTTTTATGAATAATACTTGATGTCCACTACGTAACATGTATGTAATTTAGTTCCCTCATACCACTTCTGTAACAAAGAATATTGGTAGCTAGTTGATTTCTCAAGTAACATAGAATTACAGTCGTTCATGAGTGTCCTTATTCTTCACTCATCAAAATGTTAGACTGCCACAGAAGTGAATAGGCCTTGAATGAATTGGTTCAGTTTTAATACTAATTTTGATTTCATCATAGTAAGAGATATATCAGGAGTGATCTGGCTTTATCTGCCACTTTACTGACCTATTTCTGTCCTTGCTACAGTATAGTGTATATCACTATTTCGCAACAGCTATGTAGGTTGGCTACGAATTGCTACTAAATCATCAATAGTGAGTCTTCATATTCGTAATGTTTTACTTTTTAGCTTGTTAGCTGCATGAAATGTATGTACAATTCATAACTGTGACTACCATCACTACCAAAAATATTCTGTCATATTACTAATCAAGTCCACACACGCAGCCTGATGTTCTAACATTTATCTACACAAGCAGTAGCGAAATACAAGAGTCATCATGTGTTGGTTTATGAGATAGTTCTATCTTAATATCATGTCGATATGGAATAATTATCGACTGTATTAAGCGCTTGATTTTCATACTGTAAGTTCTGGATTCAAACTCCACTTACACTGCTATGGAATACTTGGTGATATCATTAGCCAATTTACGTAGTGCCTCATAGCTTCTTAGCAAAGTTGTATAAAAAATCAGGTATAATATACTATTAAAGGCTTCAGACGACTTGTATAATTTATTTGTTGCATTAAAATCAATTCGAAATGTAAATTTATTATTTGAGTTGTTGGTGAAACGACAATATGAATTACGGAATTTTTAAGGATACTCCAAATCTAACTAAATTTGAAGAACCCCGTAACTCTTATTTTAGAAAAATTTGTGTGACTTGATACCTTACGTGAAAACGGTCGGTCAGGTTCTTACATATAGACAAGTCAATTCGCTTGTTATATGTGGTTTTAGTGTGGTATATTCTAATTGGTTTTAATCACTCATTCTTCTCACTCTTAAAATAGTTGTTTTTAAAAACCCGTACAACTATAGTAGTCTGTGATCTGATTAATTGAGGAGACAAACACTTTAAGCCTTTATTGGGAACTGTAGTTTGAAGTGTTAATCTCTTCTGGACTTTGGTGTAGAGACATATATTATACCGAACGGGAAGAGAATGTCTGAGTAGAGAAATTTCACGTTGGTTTACTTACTCAACTTTGAACAAATTTCATTGGCCTTAATTCTGCTTAGTCCACAGAGGTTTAGGCCTCTAGACACTGTCACTAGTCTTACTCAGAATGTTTACTAAGTTGTAGTATGCACAAATCTTTGTGCTTTATCCACTCATTTCTTCCCTTTATCAACCACCTGGTAAAATATGACCAAATGTAAATTAGGTCTTGTTTGCTTTAAATGTTATTCATTCTTCTCATATCAAATACACTTTATACTGTGATATAGCAACAATATATATTGTAAAGAAAAATTTCGAGCTTTTTCCATTCTTAGATTATATATATTTAAATTTCTAGCCCTGCAGATTTCTCCCGGTTTAAACCTTTCGACCTAACTTGTCTTGGGATGACGGGAAATGAAATCAATCGACTTGTAAACCAGTTAATAGAAGATGGATATCCAGTAGGCAACCTGCTGTCAGACAGGCATATGGATTGTGGTTATTTATCGTCTGATATAGACTCACATAACGTTACTGATTTTCACCGATCCAAGTTATTACGTAAAGTAAGTGACTTTTTTGGATTCTATACAATTTCTCTTGTGCAGTGGTTGGTGAAAAACTTTTCTTATTCTCTTTATTCATACAACACATAAAAGCTAAATCCAGTTGTTAAGCTTAAAATATTGTTAAGTTTGACTGTTTAAAAATCATAAGATTTCAACTAGCTTGAGGAAAAAGTACAAAATGGACAGTTCACTATTATGATAGAAACTGACTGTTTCTCGTGAGGAATTTTGCTCTTACCTGTTGGAGTAGTGCACTATTTAGGCTGTTTATATCCACAGAGATAATGAATTGCAAGTGTTAAATTATCCTAAGAAAAATAATGACTATCAAGAATTTAAGTGCCCATGAGTATTTCAAGATTATTCATAGTTTATATTGAGTTTGTAAAATAATTGATTAAATCTATACCATTCTGCTAGCACAGTATAAGTATCACATACTGATCATGTTATCAGAAGTTCCGTTCAATAATACTCATATTCAAGTCTTTTTTCTGTGCTCTATACATCTGGATTTGTGTACATAAGGTTTAAGCTTGTTAATTGTAGTAAGCATAAGTAAACTCACGATTATCATTAGTCAGGTAAAGCTTACTGTTTGCAACAAATGTGTACCACTTAAATATTAAGCTGGAACTTGATTTTATCTAACTTTGTTTCAGCTGTTCGGGAAAAAACAATCCTTATTTACTAGTGCTCCAGTTTCCCCTGCACATAGACCTGAATATCGATCCATTGAACGGTTGCCTATCCAACGACCCCAACAACAAGTGCCTTATCGTTCAACGAGTTTCACGGATGATCGAAAATCCAATCCAGTTCAAAATACCAGTGACAGTACCCCTACCAATCCAACTGCATTTACATGTCTTATTCCTGAAAAAGATATCAAACTGCATTCAAAAATTGGGATTGGTTCGTTTGGTATAGTCCGACGTGGCGACTGGACCATGCCAACTGGTGAAACTGTAAGTTTCTACTCACTTTTCGATATCTTAGCTCGTAATATGAATTGGTGTCACTGAATCTATCATCTAAGATATTTTCTTATTTCATATTGACTAGCTTACTGGAAACCATTTAGGTATTAATACTACTCACAATGGTGTTAAACTAGTAATAGCTGTTTATTTTGAATGTTTGAAGATGAATTATTATTATACTCACTTATTATCGATGATTTTGGTTGTGATTTCTGCTACCATTTTATCTTACAAGTGGTACTAGATAAATGATCTCTATTACTGGACGCTTGCTTCTTATTTAACTCCATTTGTAATTTACACTGATTGAGAAAAACTTCTGGTTTTAGTTTTTCACTTCTTATTGTAATGTTTATGTGATTATCAAGGCTCTTTAGAGCAGAAGGTATCTGATATAAGAGTAGCATGTATCTGTATTAATGTGTACTCATTGATTATTAAACTCTATTTATGGTTTTATGAATTACTTGATTATTGACACGTTTATAATTCCAGTAACAACATACCTATCTCATTTTCTCCCGAGAACAGTAGTACAGTTTAGCAAGTATGTCTATATTTTTTATTGGGCTATTAGCCATAATTATTATAAATTGTCTAATATTACTGCTTAAATATACAAACCATGATAGGCTGAGCAAGTTGCAAATCTGTTATGCGCTGACTGAAATTTAAATGTGTAGTCCTATGAAACACTACTCCATTGCAAGGGGATTCCCTGAAAATTTATTCGCTTTCTCTTAGGAACAGCTAAAATCAGTTCTAGCATTAGGACGACATCGAAATAAATTACCAGTGTACGATGCCACCAACAATGCACCATAGAAATCAAACAATCGAATATAAAGAAAGAACTGGAACAAATGAGAAGCAGTAGACAACATCTAATTGATTATTAGGTACGCCCAAGTGGGCGGTTTGTTTTTTTACTTTACATGCTTTTGGTGGTAGAGAAAACAAGCAAATCGTAGAGCGTTTGCCGCTGAATTCGATCTCAAGCCACATCTAACCCTACGCAGAGAGTTGCGGTGCACCTACATATGCCAGTTCAAATCCACTATCCTATATGTCACAATAGCACGTCAAGAGATAATTACCTCTACACTTTTCCAACCAGCTCCAGGGCAGATGATGTACGATGTGTGCTTTCTGTTATTCCTGTAAATTGAAAGCCTCACAGATAGATGTTTAATTTTAGTAAAGTCTATGATGCGTCTTTCCAAGAAGCAAATTTATTGAAATATTTTTTCTTTTTGTCATCTACCGTAATCCCATGTATGTAAGATCTGTATGTATGTAAGATATTTTCTCTAACTCCGCTTATAGATGTTGGCTTTAGTACTCAACGCCTATTCATATTCAATTATGCACTTGAACTACTTCAACTGTCGCTATAATCATTGTCAGATAGTTTATGCCTACATAAGATTTTTTAAGCATATTGTTAAATTCTAAGCTGACGTTGATGTTTTCACATATGGAAATACTGACAGTATTCCATACATTTGAGTATATATGTATATTATACATTTGTTAAGTAAAAAGGTTTGAAAATAGATTGAAGAGTGTATTTGATGAGATCCTTCATTATTGAACTGTATGCATTATAAATAACACTATTGACACTACTAATATTAAACTCTTTAGGCTGTTTTTATATTCGTTAGTGTTTCAGTTTAAACTCAATTACTGACAATAGATTCTTCATGTTGAAGACTATGGACCACACTTTTTATAACTAATTGCCTATACTAAAGTAGCTGAAGTAGGACTCGAACCCGAGGATTTTTGGCTGAAAGATAAATGCTATAGTCAGTTAGCCATACCATTAGAGTATAAATCTAAAGCAATACATTTGAATCGACCGAAATTTTAAAGATAACATTTTCAAGTAAAATGACTTGTGAATATAGAGTCCTTGTCAACTGTTTTCTTCACATTAACTAGCCACAAGTTTGGTGTTCTTCATTATCTCACCATGCTTCATTGCATTTTCTTAGACGCCGAATATCATTGAAAAAAATGCTTACTCCCCTGGTTATGACCTAGTATAGATTTTAAAATAGTGGTCTGTTTTGGCGAGGGTCAGTAGAAGACTGCCGCTCTTTCTGGAACACATGCGTAGACTCCGATCACGCCCTGGTTCGCTCACGTTTATGCTTACGATTAAACGGACATTAAAAACCATTGACAAATATATCTCCTGATCAGGACAGAGTCCCTATATAAGGGAGAAATAGTTAAACGCGTATCTGAGATTGACAGAAAGACTCCTCCTGAGGAATCCTGGCACAATATGCAGTTAGCTTTAGACACAGGTGTAAAGGCTGTTGATAATAACCTGAAACCAAAAGTTAGTAAGAGCTAGTGAATTTCTACTACCTCATCTGACCTGATTGACTCAAGAAGACTGATTCCGGCGAGCTTCGAATACGATGGGGAGCGAAAGCCCCTAAAATACAAACTAACAAGAAGTCTTCGCGATGACCGTGAACAGTGGTAGGCAACATAAGCGAAATAGATGGAAAAGGCATTGGCGATAGGTGACACCAGACAAATATTTAGACTTATTAGGAAAACAGGTGGTAAAATGATAAGTGTAACAATCTCTGAAAAAATGGCACCATAATTAGCTCTCAAGATAGACGACTGGAACGCTGGAAAGAACACTATGAGGAGCAGTTTAATTGGCCTACAGCCACACTCAACTTACCGAACATCCAACGCCTCCCTGAATGGGATATAGACACAGGTCCTCCGTCCCTAACTGAGGTTACTAAGGCTGTCACTAGTCTGAAACGAGGCAAAGCCGCGGGACCTGATGGAATGACTCCAGAGGTATTTAAGTACGGTGGTGACAGTTTACTGTCTGTGTTAACTAAGGTACTAGGCAGCATCTGGGAAACAGAGGAAGTCCCGTCCGTTTGGTGTAAGTCATTGATTATCCCGATATACAAGAAGGGAGACAAGTCTTCCTTTGATAATCACAGGGGAATTAGCTCGACCAATATAATATCTAAATTCCTAGGCTCAATAATAATGCGCAGACTAAATGATGCTTGGGAGGAACAAACATGGGAGAACTAGGTAGGCTTTAAACCAGGAAGAAAGTGGATTGATCATATCTTCACCCTTCGATAAATTCTGGGACGTGGGCATACTTACCGGCAGCGTCCAACAATCGTCATATTTCTTGAACTGAAAGCGGCATTCGATTCCGTCGACCTAGAGGCATTATGACGATGTTCGGCTGTGGAGGGAATGTCGAGAAAATACATTACACTGTTCAAGGCACTCTGCTCGAAATCAGTTAGGTGAGAGCCTACAGAGAGTTGTCATCTGAACTGGTGACAACTAGTGGTATCTGTCAGGGATACCCACTATCCCCGTTTCTGTTTAATTTCATCATAAATGTCATCATAATGGACTTAACCTTAGTTGACTTCAGACTTTATAATTTGTCTTACTTGTGCCTACTTTCATTGTTTGACACAATCGTTGCATGTTATGCAGTGTTATACTTTGCTTGAATTCATACCTTTAATAATAATTATAATAATAGCTTTATCCTGAAAAATGTGTTCATACGCAATACAGAATTTTCAGCGAATTTCATTGCGAGGTATTTACTTCCTGTTCAGAATCTTCAAATAATATATATTAACTGATAATATATCATGCATCCGAAGCATGCTGTAATACTACACCACAACGTTCTTTTTCCACTTCCTTCGAAGAATTCCTGGCGATAGGAAGAAACTTATTTGAAGTTGTGCGCGAGTATATGTTGGAACTCATTGTGGTGTAATTAGATGATTAAAACAACATGAAACAGAGTAAATATAACGCATTTTAATGGATAGAAAATTTAGACCACAGTTGTTATCATCCAAAAGTTGGAGTGTGTTTCCGTCTTATATGTAATGGTTTACTTTTACTTTTAAATGAAAAAAAATATTTCGTATTTTTAAATCAAGAATAATCAAAATAATTTCATGTTAACTTACAGATTCCTGTAGCTGTAAAATTATTACGATCAGAAGCAATGAAAAGTGATATATTCACTGGATTTTTATATGAAGTCCGTGCAATGCAATGTCTTTCACATCCTAGCCTAATTCGTCTTCATGGGATTGTGCTGTCTAATCCAATCATGATGGTAGGTTGAAAGTGATTTGTTTTCTCCTGTTTATTTGTTCGCTTGTTTGTTTGTTTGTCTCCCTAAAACTCTTCTGATCCAGTAAACAAAAAAACAACAGCCTTTAACACGAATTATTCAAACAGCAATTGTATGTTGTGCTGTTGTTTTTTTTTTCAGAAATATTTTATTTCCATATCGATCATTGATTTGTGTCTCGTTTTTATATTGACAGAAAATTTTAAAAAAATATCAAGTCCTACTGGATTGTTGATATTTCCTGTAGAATGTCATAAGCATTATGTCCATTGTTTATTATTATTGTTCTGTTGTAACTGTAGAAAATAAGAGACCTGGTAAAGGATTGTTTATTTAGAATTTAGTATCTCTATATAGCAAAATTATGTACACCTTATCCCCAAGTCAAGATCTGGACTTCGCCGATGATATATGTCTGATTTCCCACAAACTGGAAGATATGCAAGCGAAAAGCAACAAGTTGGCAGAAGAAGCTTCCAAGATAGGACTTCAGGTGAACATAGAGAAGACAGAGGTGATGAAGATTCCTGGGCAACACCACCAACAGCAACAACAGACAACAATCAGAATAAATGGGAGGAACCCGAAAGAAGCAACCTCCTTCACCTACCTACCTGGGAAGCATCGTTTCAACTACAAGCAGAACTGACAAGAATATCAAAGCAAGGATCGGAAAAGCAAGACAAGCTTTCACTACTCTCAAGTCTGTGTGGAGGTCAACAGCACTCAGCATGAATATAATAATGTCCGGATTTTCAACTCCAATGTGAAGTCAGTGATGCTCACTATACGGATCAGAGACTTGCACTGCGCGTCATAAAGAGCATCTCAAACAAACTACAGACCTTCATTAACAGTTGTCTTCGCTCAATACTCAAGATCAGACGGCCAGGAAAGATCAGCAACAGAGATCTCTGGGAGCGAACCACCTCAGCAGGAACCGACTGTGAAATAAATAGGCAGGAAGAAATGGAGATGGATTGGCTGGCCATACTTTGAGGAAACCATCAAGTGACATCACTAGACAAGCCATTGCTCGAGTGGAACCCGAAAAGGAAGCGGTGAGTTGGTCGTCAGTGCAAGGGTGAGGGTGACTTGGAGGAGGTCATGTGAAGAGGAGATGAAAACGTGTGGGCAGGCATGGAGCCAGGTGAAGACTCTAGCAGAGAACCTAACGCAATGGAGACGCGCGGCTGAAGCCCTATGTTCCTCCAGGAATTAAAGGAAGTAATAATAATATCCCCAAGTCATCATTTGCACAGATCTTTGATATTGTGTCACTTTTATCCTTCGTGTTGTGTTTCTTTGTCTTCCTTTTCACATCTCCCATGTTTTGGCACGACGCTGAATCATTGCTCTCTTCGATAATAAATCTATCTCCTTGCTATTTCATATTTTGATACCGATGAACGTTTCTTTATTTACTACTGATAAATTTTATCAGTAGCACCCGTCATACCATAACTGTTCATATTTCATTGGAGACTTTGAATATTTGTGTATAAACAGTTTTATAATGTTAATTTTTATTTTGATAACTGATTTTTTTACCGATAACTGCAGTTTTTGTCTACTTGATTTATTAAAATTGGACATTATAGAAGTCAGTGTTTTTCCGTGTGAATAACTTTAAAACGGGTAGTTACAGCTGTTATGATTTGGGTTTAGCTTCAGTTAAAGAAGGAGAAAAAGTACTAGCTATGTTGATAACTTCAGTTTATCGGATATACTTGTACATTTTTGCATAATTCTAAGTTTACAAAAGATATGATGGATCAAATTTCTTCTTTTAGATGTAGTCTATGGGATGAGATAACGAGTATGCGGCTATTTATATTAAATGGTTAGTGCTTTTCATTGTATACCTGTAACAACAGAAGACAAGGGCCAGGCAACAGATCAGTTTTATTACGAAAACCAACAGGTATTTATATGTATTTTACGTACATTAATAAGCTTCTGCCCGCAGAAAGAAGGCGGTCTTCTGATTGGTTGTTTGCACACAAACGCAGCCTTCTGCTTTCTCGTTTTCGATGTTTCTCGGAAATGCGAGCCACTTGTCTGCGAATCATATTTGTCCACGTCAAGGTCAGCTGTGATTGATCGTTGAATCAGCCTAGATTAATTTCTACCAATCAGCGTAGATCAATGTCTACCAATTGGCTAGCAGCTTGCTCTCACCACATACCTAGCAATACACCCAAATTTATTCAGGTTACAGGTTAAAGATTGTAAATGTGTGAGGATTCCAAACTGATTTAAGCATGCATTTTTCAATAATTGATGAAATTGGTGAAATTTTGGAAACTACCAAATTTCGCATGAGTTTCACTAATTTTTTAAGGCATAGACTACTTAGTATTATTAATTGTGAAGATGTGTATAGAGCATTTGACTCTCAGTCAGTGAGTTCCTTGTTCGAATCCTTTTTCCGCTTACTTCAGTCTCAATAACTGAGTAATATCATCAACCCTCATACAAGAGATGTGAGGACTTATCACTGGTGATAGTTTATTGACAAGGTTTTTATAACTTCTTTTTCCACGGCATTTCTTATTTTCTTAATTTAATTCTATTTAGTGTCTGAACCACTTTGTTGTTGTGTATCGATCCTTACAGTGAACTGATTCCGCTTACCTTCAAACCTTCATTATCTGAACAAACAATATTCCTTTCAATAATTTCTTCTCTTCAGGTTCTTAGAATTCTAAAATATAATATTTGTTATCTTTTACGAGTTAATCACGGATTGTTATCAGTTAGAGAACCATTAAAAACCAGAGAGTACTGGACAGCTGTTTCAAACTAGGATGCTTCCATCACCTTCAATAATTTTGAATTAGAGTTACGTGAAATAATTGTGAAACAGTCATTAATATTGATTTTGTGACCTGACGTTAATAAGTGCTTTGCAATGGATGATTCTGGATTTCTATTCAGAAGAAGAATCACCAATCCAAGTTTAGCCGCGGTAGGAACAGTGTCTGGACGTGTTCATTTCGCATACTAAGTTCCGGTTAGCCGATCTTATTACAACAATATGTAGGAGACGTGAGCAAACTGTTCGTGATAAGCACTTTGGAATGTGGTATATAACCGTGAAGACTGTGTGGGCGTCAATACGATGTCCAGTATAGACCAAGTGTGACAGAATCGAGCTTTTTATGCCTCTAATTTCCCCCTTGCCGAACCAACCTCGTAAATGTTCTCGAACCCGTAGACGAACCTGCCTAATCGTAGGCCCTACATAACTTGAACCACAGGAACAGTTGTCTGAAGAAGAGCTAAGGTTAGGTAAGACATCTTTCAGCTTCTGGGTGAATATAGGATGTCTACTGAAGAATAGGAACAGATGTTCAGAGAAGAAAGTTTTCTTGATCGCCCTGGCTGAACGTTGCGATAGAATCTCCACAGGAGTATCTCCCTTCAATTGGAGACGTAAAAACAGAGGCTTTTTCTCCACCGTTGCCAGTTCATGTTTACGGCTATTGTAACCTATGTTGGCTTTAATGAACTTCTCTGGATATCTGTTCTCACTTAGAATGTCTCAGATGACCTGGAGTTCTTTCTCTACACAGTCTTCGAAGCAAATGGACCTCGCTCTAATTACGTTTGCATTTCATAGGTACGAAGCTAAGGAAGTGTGTATGCTGAGCTTTGGTCTCTAGCTTTCTAAATATGGTCCTCTTGACGGAGCCATCCTCTCTGTTCCTTAGTAGGACATCGAGGAATTGCAGAGAGTCCAAGTGAGGCAGGACTCGAACCCGGGATAAACTAGCGGACAACGGTGTGCGTAAACCAGTGATTCACTTCCCAAACTGTTCGTAGACATTGTTGATAGTTATTGTCATGATGTTCACAACCTATTCGATGACTTATGTGTGTCAGCTGTGACTTGGCTGTTATTTTGGAATCATTAACCACGTATAGACTAGCTTATGAGCCTTTGAGTTTGTGGAAGTAGACAAGAAGGAGAAAAGCTTGACGCTAATGCTTTTTCAGGGAATTGATTATCAAAGCATATGGTTACAGTGCTAACATATTTAGACGGTTTTGTAGTTTGCTTACATATTGTGTTCTGAAAACGTTTTAACTTCATCACACGAAAAATATTATGGGTAATAATAGTCTTAATTGACTGATTAATTCACATGTGTCATCTGATGAGGTATATTTCGTTGTACAAATTTAATGCAGGCTTTTTGTCAACACATTAGAACACATGTTGAGTTGATGCCGGCAATGTAGTAAACTAAATGTTTTTTTTTCACTGATGAATATTACATTCATCAAATTAATTCATAATAATATTTACAATGTTAGTATGGTTTGTTTTTTCCGCTCAGAACTTAAATTCATATAGTCTAAAAGAAATGTATTTCATTGATATCATTCTTTGTTGTTTTTTGTTATTTGTTATCATGCTGTTTATGTGAGAATTCTGTCGATGTAAATACAACCAAAAACTTGATCAATTTTCATGTACCAAGTTGTATACTACGAGAACTACTCGCACGGATGAACAGACAGTCCCTTTTTGAGTAGTGCACCTATAGTACTAGAGATTTCTAGCTATTCAAAATAAAACGGAAAGACTAAACCGGATGAAAGGGCATTTGCATGGTACATTCAGAGTTTTGACTCAGTACAAATTTAATGATTACTACTAGTTACAGTCGTTTGCTTCTAAACAGTACTAACTTCAGACATACGGAAATGCACTTTCTAATTTAGTGGATTCAAATAAACAGTATGGCACTGAGAATAGTATCACTTCTTTTGAAGCACACTCTTGAATCACGGCCTTTTGTTGGTGACTGCATGCATGTTCTTGCGCCTCAGTGTATGCAAGAGGACATGTGGAAGACCTCTCAACTGAGTGCAGTGATGAAGATTTTTAGGAAAGAATTTAAGGAGTATGCAATCAAACAATTGTTAATATATAAAAGTGTTGCTGTTCTCTAAAATGTCTCGCAAAATCTCCAGCCTGCTTTGAAAATAGTGCCAAATCATGTTTTCTATCTCCAGAATATTGCTGGATAAGGCCATTAGGTCTCAGATACTCGAAAACCTCCTAAAATCACAAGCTCGTGTGACAGTGAAATGCAGAAGTTGCGTAAATGTAAACTAATAAAGAGTCTGTCTAATGATCTTGAGTAGTACTAAAAATCAAAGCCAATGCTATAGAGAAGACCATGGTGATAGATGATGCCAGACAACTAATCAGGTTGGTTAAAGAGAATGACTTTAGAAAACTAAGTTTCAGTAAGAATATGGGTGAGAGGAAAAAGGCCATTGGGTTATTCATAAGGAAGCTTACTGAAATAGTAAGCAAAGGGCTTCAACCAATAGGTGAAAAATTGCCCATCACTTACCCTGTTGTCCATTCATAACCGAAATGCAACATTGATATGCAACCTCTGATTGAGATTTTAGTTGAGGTATGAAAATCAGCTGAAACGATATTGAATAAAACATGAGGTTGTGTTTCTCTTATATGCACCTGAAAATGATACATATCACGATTTAATTGATTTTTGTTATCACAGCCACATAACAAGAGGAAGGTGATGAAATAACATCTGGATAACCTTAAGCAATTCACATGTGTTATTTGACCTCATATTACTTTTCATTTTTTCTCTCTCTCCCCTTCCCTCCCTCCGACTATCTCCCTCTAGGTTACTGAACTAGCACCTTTAGGCAGTTTATTATTACACCTAAGAGCTCAATCAATGTGTGCACGTAATAATTCTTGTCAAACAAATTCACCAAACAATTTACCCTATGTACCACGTGCTCTTCAAATTGATTCATTATGGGATATGGGTATACAAATTAGTCGTGGTATGGCGTATCTTTCATCGCAAGGTTTAGTTCATCGTGATTTAGCTGCTAGAAATATTTTACTTTCATCAATACAAAAAAATGAATATCCTCAGATTAAAATTGCCGATTTCGGTTTAGTTCGATCAGTAGTTGATTCTACGAATATAACTGATAAAAAGTTGAATAAAGAAAATGAATTCAATGAACCAGTATATACGGGTAATTTAGAACAGAAAATTCCATTTGCATGGTAAGTTCTTGAATAATAAATCCCGCTACATTTCTGTTATCCTTCTCACTAGTGAGAAGCCGTTACCAGTAGGATGCAGCAGGTTGAAGATAAGGCAGTAACTCATCGAAGAAGACATTGCAAAATGGTCGCGCTATTTCGTGAATTGGCAGAAGTTAGAATTCATGAGCTAGCCATTGGATCGGGTCCCAGTGGCTTAATGGTATCCGACCTCGCCTTGTAACCAGAAGGTCCTGGGTTCGAATCCCGGTGAGTGCGTACCGATGAAGAGTCCCAAACTAGGACGAAACAGCTGTCCAGTACTCCCAGCTGGTTTTCCTGTGATTCTCTAACCAATGTCAGCTCGTGATGGAATCCTCCATGCAATCAAACAAATTCCCTACAAAACCAATACTTGAAAATTTCTGTTATCCACCTCCAAAATTCAATTGGCGATTTGCAATTTACACAATTCGAGGTGAAATTTCACCAGACTTTTATGCTTCATACCATGAATAGCAGCAATCACAAGAAAGCAAGCATACATTCTTGACGCTATATGCTACTGATTGATTGGAATAAGTAGTTGTATACTGACCGCCCACTTCAACTAGCAGTGCTCGCTAACCAGATCGAAGTGGTCTAGACACTGGATGGCTGTATTGCGTGTATGACGCCGAGGTCATCAGCAGTGTACCCTCTTCCGTTAAGCTCAGAGGGTCGAATCGCCCTATTTTTGGTTAGCTACCTTAGGCGGACTGATAATACCTTAAATCAAATTCGTAACTCAGTTTTAACTTGTCAGCTAGCTATTTTTGTTTTAATTTTACGCATGGAGGTATGATATTTAATTAGAACAATTGAAAAAATCTGTTAATCCCTTTATAATGATGAATAAAGGGAATTTATGTATAGTAATATTCCAGGTCATTTAAAGGACAGATTATTTCCGCCATATATCTATTATTCTTCTTATCATTTTGAGGACCTCGAATAACTAATTGCAGTGGAGACATGCTGCCGAATTTTTATGTTCTGATTGGAACGCAAGGAATGGATAAAATAATATTAATATAGTGATGGGAGAGATTTAACAGAGGTTACTTGCTTCACTTATCTAGGAAACGTCGTTTCAACTACAGGCACACGGAACGGATGAAGATGTCAAAGTCAGAATCGGGAAGGCAAAATACGCCTTCATCAACCTGAAACCAGTTTGGAAATCTTCCGTACTCAGCATAAGGAACAAGACTCGCATTTTCAACACTAATGTGAAGTTGGTTCTTCTTCTAAACGGGTCAGAAACTTGCACTGCGTGTCACGTAAAGGATTTCCAACAGGTTGCAGACTTTGATCAACAGATGCCTTCGCTGGCTCCATACTGAAGATCAAATGGCCAGAAAGAATCAGCAACAAGAAACTGTGGGAACAAACAAACCAAGGACCGATCGCTCAACAAATATGTAGGAGAAAGTGAAGATGGATTGGGCATACATTGAAGAAGCCGCCGAATGACATCACTCGAGTGGAATCCCAATAGGAAGCGACGAGTGGATCGTCGTATGAGGAAGAGACGAGAAAGTTTTGTCAATCGTGGACCCAGCTAAAGAGGACGGCAGAAAACAGAACAAAGTGGAGATGTGTTGTTGAAGCCTTATATTCCACTTGGAATTCAAGGGAATAATGATAATATAATATAATAACCTGTTATGTCGCCTAGTTAGGGTCCGTCATAATTGAGTTTTTCATGGCTTATTGATCTTAAGCGAGCAGTAGTCATTTCTCTTATATAGCAAATATAAGCATTTGGAGATTTCGTGGGCTAGCTATGATTACTTTTTCGTATATCCTTTTCTATTCTAGTTAGTACAGAAAAGGTAATATAAATATGTAGCTTGTCATATATTTTAAATGAAACCATTACATTTATTTCAGTGATTGTGAAACCTATTAGGACAAATGAAATTTTTGTATTTGACTTGATGATAGTAACGTGGCTCTGATTACCTCTCTATAGTCCTTGTTAAGTACTGTAAGATGTATCACCCTTGAATGTATCAGAGCTTGCAATATTCTCCAGCCAGTCAGATTGAAGGAGCTTGAGCTAAATATCAGACAGACATCAAGTGACTCAAACAATGAATCATTTTCTCATTTGAGTATGCATACACATTTCAGTGATTACCTGTCTTTTTTTTGTACAATATCTCTTTTCTCAGGTCCGCTCCCGAATCTTTGCGTAAACGTGTCTTTTCTGAAGCCAGTGATGTTTGGAGTTTAGGTGTTACATTTTGGGAAATGTGGACTGGTGGTGCAGATCCTTGGCCAGGTGTTAATGCTGGACAATTGTTAGAACTATTAGATTCAGGGCGTCGATTAGTTTGGCCAAGATATACTTGTCCACGTCGATTATATCAATTAATGTTAGCTTGCTGGCGAGCTGAACCATATCGTCGGCCAACATTTTCTTATCTTTCTGAAAGATTAGATCAAGTAAGACTTTAATCTTTAGTTTTTTCATATTAGAAATTGAGATTTTTTTGTCATATATATATTTGTTGTTATTGTTTTTTTATCACCAATTTTTTATTGATTTTGGTAGATTAAGATATTTTTTGTCATGTGTTGATTGTGTATACGGTTGGATAAAAATCCCACACTAGAAGGTTGTCTTAGTAACCTGTAGATTTTGTTTACTGTTTTTATATGCTCAATTGTCATTTCCAACAGAGAAAATTAACTGTGTTGCATGCATCTACCCTACAGTATTAATGCTTGTATTAGGTGATGATTGATGAACCAGTTTTATATTTTATGGTGAATGAATCTACAAAAAAGAACTTATTGTTTATTTCCCTGTGTGTGTGCGTGTGTGTTTGTGTTGGTTAATTAAATTGGCAAATTATAAAAATTAAATTAGATATGTTATTGCAAGTATCTACTGTTAGAGTGTTACACTTTAAGGAGAAAAACTAAATGACACTTTGTTTTGCATAAAAAGTTCTTATAATCAGGATTATTTTTCAAAGAAAAATTAATCTTCATATTTGCTAAAACAAAGGCCAAATAAAATGTCACGCGGTGGAGAGTGTTCCTAACCAAACGTGAGGAACATAGGTGATCATAGGTGCCTGCGTTCTATCTCCCGTGTGAAGTGGTATAATAAGGTGAGAAATATTGAGGTTAGGTGTCGAGTGCTAGGTAAGGAGGGGAAATCAATCGACGAAACGGTGAAGTTACATCGACTGAGATGGTTAGGACATGTGTTACGTATGTCTAGTCATCGCCTTCCTCGACAATGGGCAATGTTAGCTGATATAGGGTCAGGCTGGAAAAGAGCTAGCGGCGGTCAAACCAAAACATGGCACCAGTCAATGAAATCCACAACAGTTAGTCTAAGCCACGTAGGAAGGTGTAGACTTCCTGGTTGGGGTCCTCGGGATGGTAAAAACCGATGTTTGGAAACAGTTGGAGACATGGCTGAAAATCGTTCTCAGTGGCGCAGATGCATCCACTCCTTGTGACTTATGATTTCCGATGAAACTGTTTTGTTCTTCGTTATTACAATACCTTTATCCCACACCTCTGTTTACTGTCTATATTATGCATTTCTCCTACTTTCTCTTGCTTTGTGTGCTACATGGGGTGTGGTGACTTGAACTGCCGCACTTATGTGCAAAGTTCTATGTCGAAAACAGACAGACAGAGCAAACGTGAAAGGATAAATACGAATGCCTAGCCTCTACAAGCGAACTGGTGAACATGCAGTTCTACCTAGGGAAGCTGGAAAGCCCTGATTCTAACAGTATGGGCTTCCAAATCTTAACGGATGGAACAGTGTATGAACTTGCCCTGGTGACCAGAAACCATGGAGACATAGCTGCTGACTCTGCTCCACTCACGGCCTTATGAATCAGATTTCAGATTAAAGGCTCTGGGGAGGGTGATCATTAAGGCAACCACTTGCTCTGGTTCGGGCGTCTTAGCAGTAACCAAGCCCTCGCAAAAACTATGAGATTTCGTGTTTTGCATCGCTTGGTGCTCATAATGCACCAATTTTGTGATAGTCACGTAATTGTTTTGAAATTACTGGACACTAATAAACACGTTGCCAGAGTTTGTGAAAATGTTGACCAAGCAAAATCTATGAAATAAGTATAGTGAACGTCAATCTCACGAAAAGTATTTTGAAAATGGATACTGAATAAAAATACCAATATCTTAAACTTTTTTTATCATTATATAATTTTATAAAATACAAAATGTAGCGTGCATAATATTTTTATAAGTTTCCAATAACTGTTTTGCAATCATTTATTCTCTTGCCTCTACAAGTTGTGAAAGCATAAACATTATCGCATATATAAAGTAGACTGTAAAGCGTATAAATAAATTGTTTTTTTTAAAATATTATATCCAACACTTGCATTGATTATTATGATTATTATCGTCGAAAAAATCAAATGCGATTCAATTCAAAGATGGGACAGATAGCATTTAATTTCATTGGGGGATTTGAAGAAAAATTCATGTAAACTGTTACTTGCAGTCAATAGGAATGTGATACAAAATGATTGGTTAATGTATTTTGTTTTTGAATATATATAATCAATAAAAATAATTAAGATTACATGGAGTCAGTTATAAGCATTATACATGAATACAAACAATATTAATAATAAAAATAAAATCAAATGAAATATTGGATTGTCTGTATATGAAGTTATTAACTTCAGAAGTGCCTAGTATGATAAGGAACGCAATATCCAGTGAAGAGATTCTTTAAACGAACAGTCGTAGACATGTATATGACTTTCCAAGAAATTACCCCTTTATGAAATTAAAAAAAATAGTTTTAAATATTTATGATTATCATCATAGTTCACTATCAAGCGATAAAACAAGTCATCTCATATATATGTATATGTAATAGTCCAAAGAATGTATAGATATTGGATAGGGGTGTGAAATTAATAGGCTTACCAGAAAGATAAAAGAATTACGTAACATGGCGTAAGAAGTTTGATGAGACAGATTGTAATATTGCAAAAAATATGTCGAATTCACATAATAAATGGGACAAGCGAAATAATACCGGAAACTGTCCAAAGTGAATTTAAAAGTGAGAATGGTAATAATAATAATTGGAAAGTAAACCGATTAAATAAACAAAACAAATACATAGATATTTTATCCATCCTGCCAAGTTTACGGCCAAGGTAGGAATGGAGACGGTACATACCTCTTTTACGCGCAAAGGTATGTTTTGGAGCTAAGAATAGCCAGGGTGTCTGCTGTTCTTTTCTGATGTTTGAAACAAAGAAAATGCGACAAGTTATTATGAATTCTGTAGATAGTCTTAAAGTCATGGTCAGGGTTGGATGAGTGACAGCGTCCGATCAAGTGGTCTAGGATGGCGCTTTTTATACCCTTCATTTTTCCCTTGTTATACCGCGCTGAAATATGATTTCACATTCCTCTGGCTACTCCCGATGTACCTTGCTCCAATAAAGCAAGGGAACTGAAAGTTGCACATGGAAGCGCCCAGACAAGGGAGCTTATCTTTTACACATATGAGCTTAGTATAATTTAGATAAAGCAATAAGAAGACGTAATTTGTCTGAATCGTGTAATGTATTTGCGCTACACATTTCGAACAATCTGATCCATCACACACGGACTTGTCATAGGAATATATATGAAATTAATAAAGAGTTAAGAGGTGAGAAATAGAAATAGACTTAGGTCAAGTTAAAAGGACATATTCAAGGTCAAAATAACAAGGAAGACCACTAAACCAAATAGCTGGGGTAATAGTACGTCTGCTATGGTGTCAAAACAAAATTTACCAAAGAAGGTTTAATGTGATGACGAATTGTTTTTGAACGCATAAGAGTGGTTTAAACTTTCTAATTGCTAGGGCGTCCACAAACTTTAGGATACGCCACAAACACGTTTTATAGGTAGGTTTAAAAGATGTGTAAACATCAATTTTATGTCCTGTCTCTATAATATGTTTCGCAATAGAAGAGCTAGGTCTCCTGTTCTCACCATTAATGGGTTCTGAAGATTCCATTTGTTTCTGGAGCCATTTAGGAATATGCTCCGAAGCCCTTACTTGCAGAGACCGATGAGTCCTTTGTGTGTGTATGTGTGTGTGTGTGTATGTCCACACGTACATTCGAATTGGTAAATTCAGTGGAATGTGACATCATTTTTCGCATGTTCGAAGGGCTTAGATAGATATATTGGCTTTTCATTCTCTATTAGTATGATATTAGCTGCATAAAAAGTCTTTTTGACAACAGCGTTCATTCTTTGTCTAGTTATCAAGCTGCTATGATACCTCATATAGGGTAGCTTGATGTACATGCCTTTCTTAGAGGCGAGTTGTAGAATGGGTCTTGGTGTTCTGACTACTTAATATCTCCTAATGAACTTGTCTGGATAATTGTTATCTACCAGAGTTTGTGTCAACTTTCTTTCTTCTTCATCAAGTGTGTCTTCAGTGCATATTCGTCGGATTCTACTGAAGAAGCGCCTCACTCACTAAGGCTCTTTTGTATCGAACAGGGCAGAAACTGTGGTAATTAAGATACCGTCCTGTCTAAGTAGGTTTTGTATAAATAGATCTTTTTATTGACCCATCAAGCCGTCAACTAAGCAATATGTCTAGGAAAGATAAACAATTATCTTCCTCTTCTACAGATGTAAGTGATATGCTATTCTGAACTTCATTCATTCGATTTAAAATTTAGGTGGCAGAACAAGACTTATCACTGATGATTACAATATCATCTACACAAACCTTCTATAAAGTGGCACATTTTCGATTAAATCCTCCGATAAATTCTCAATGTACGACATATATAAAAGGGACACTAACGGACTTCCCATTGTTATGAGACCAGAGAATAATAGATACAGTGAATTGCTTTCAACTGATGAACTTAAATACACAGGTAAATTCCATGTCACTTTCATTGATTAATCCTCAATAAACAAAAGGGGAAATTCAAATAGTGTAATTATGTGGTTTGACTTTTTGATACTACATCTTTCCGTGTAGATTTATTTACAAGTTAAGAAATGTTGTATTCTCTTTACGAGAAAATTTTGTAAAAATATTTAACAGTTATGCAGATTATAGTTCAGCTTAGTCATGTTGTAATAGCAGAACACGAAAGCATTTGAAAGCGGAATTGTCTATTGGCAAAATACAACATACCTTATTAAAAGCACCATTTTCACATGTTCTGCGTATTGTGCTTCTTTTTTTTAAATTTCTCCTCGTCTTCAATCCATCCATCCAGTCATCCGCTATTCAATATTCTTGCAGAAGACATCACACATAACATACTACTTATATTTGTTCAACAATATGCAATTGTTTAAGCCTACTTTTTATCATTTGGAACTGACCACTCGATTTGTAGACAGTTAATTTTTATGCAGTTGTTCAATTCAGTTAGTGCTACTAAGCTTGGTGTCTCTGTGATAAAATATATTCGAGAGTATAAATAAATAAAGATTATCTTAATTTTTTTCTAAGTCACATGGTGTAAGAAGTTTCATATATCACTGAATTTTTTCTTCTTTTATTGTCGTCAATAGATACGTCCAATTACTGTTGTAGCAACTCAAAATCTTGATGAAGCTGATCGGTTAGGCTTAGAAGCTGGTGATACAGTGATTGTTATTGACGGGAAATCTCATAAATTTTGGTGGTCTGGTCAAAATAAACGAACTGGTGAAATTGGCTTATTTCCAAGGGGGATTGTACAACGTGGGAATAGTGACACTTTAACTAGTAAGTTATTTGTTTTGCTGTATACAAATCTGCACAGGTAATATTAAGTTGTATTAGTGTATTATTGTAATTTTGAGTGGAATTCATTATTCTATGCATGTCTTACTTATCTTCTTGCCAAATATTTCTTCACCTCTTACTGTATTTGCGCAACACATTTCGAACAATTTGGTCACATGCACACACGCGTACTTGTTACAGAAATTTATACATAAAAAATAATAAAGCCTTAAGGGATGAGAAAGTGGGAATAAGTTAAATTCAAAGGCTATTTTGAAGACCAAAATAACAATGAATATCGATGAAGCGATTATAGGCCAGGGGAGAGGTAATAATATAAAACGTAATTTGCTAACGAAGATTTTGGCGTGATGACTAGTTGTTTCTAATAAATTCAAGGTGGTTTAAACTTCCGAATATCTAACGTTTGGATACAGTTAAGGAGATAGATAGATAGATAGATAGCCTAGCAGCAGGACTTATAGGCAGGTAGATTTCGAAAACATATAGGCATCTATTATTTGCCTTGTTTCAGTGATGTGTTTCACCATTTCGGATCTTGGACGTATATTTTCACCATGAATAAGTTCTGCGAACTCGATCTTCCCTTGAAGCCCCTTAGGTATATGCTTTGTATCCTCTAGTTGCAAAGATCAGTGGGTCCTCACTGTTTTTATGCTACCATATGCGCATTGAAATTGATGAATAAGATGGTTATATACAGATGACCTGTATCAGTTATTTGCTAAATGAATCGGTTAATAATCATTGGGATACAACATATTTCCACTCCAAAAAATTTTGATATTTTGTACTTACCTAACTTCAGTGTATGGATACATGAATTTATGTACTTTTATACTTTTAAACTTTATTTCTTTGATTGGTGTTTGATATGATCTCATAATATAGTTACTTCTTAGCACGAATCCATAGTGGCTTTTTTACGTCCTCGTAAGTATTATGCTTCAAAAAAATATCTGGTGCTAATTAATATTGAAAAAAGGTTTTCATGTTTGTAAGGTAAACAGCATCTAAATATGCTGTCAAGTACAGGTCTGAGCACTCTTTTTCTTTTTAGATAAACTAGACATTTTTATTAACATCAGCAATGTTCACCAATAATATGACTGAATGTAGAGTTCCTATAGTTGATTTGTAAGGGTTAGTTTTGTCTTTACGAGTTGATCACGGATTCATATCAGTTAGAGAACCTTTGAAAACCAAGGAGTACTGGACAGCTGCTGTTTCATCCTAGTTTGGGAATCATCGGCAGTACGCACCCACTGGGATTCGAACCCAGGACCTTCCGGTTACAGGGCAACCTCGGATACCATTCAGCCACTGGGATCCGCTTCAATGGCTCATGAATTCTAACTTATACCAATTCGGGATTCAGCGTGACCCCAACCAATGTCGTCGGTGGGACATCCATCCTCACACGTGACATCTGGATGGACCTCACTGGTCACGACTTCTCACTAGAACTCCAGGAAACTCCAGCCTGTAGCAAGTCACTAGCGAGCATCAGATTAATTTCCTATAGTTTGGTTTGTAAGGGTTAGTTTTGTTTTTTATGAGTTGATCACGGATCGATATCAGTTAGAGAACCATTGCGTACTGCCGATGATTCCCAAACTAGGATGAAACAGCTATCCAGCACTCCCTGGTTTTCAATGGTTCTCCTACTGATATCAATCCGTGATCAACTCGTAAATGTGTAGAGTGTTAACTAAGTAGGCAGATTCAATCGGTGAGGTTGGGAAGTTGCATCGATTGCTACAGTTAGGGCATGTATTATGCTTGTCAAGTCGTTGCCTTCCTCGTTAAGTAATGTTAAATGACATAAGAATAATTTGGAAAAGAATTACGGGTGTTTGGACCAAACACATAGCACCAATCCGTGAATTCGTCGAAAGTTGATTTCAGTCACATAATGAGGTGTAGACTATCCGCCTGGGGTTCTCAATACGTTAAAAATCATTAACTAGATACGACTGGTGATACGCCTTTAAAGCATTCTCAGTGGCATAAATGCATTCACTCCTTATGTGATCTCTTGTAGATTCTCAAAATCTTCGTTATTCTTCATGTAATTATATATTTTTTCCTTATACATTTCTGTTTATTGTAATGTCATTGCATTTCTTTCCTCTACCTTTTGAATTTTTATGAAGTGTGATAACACTGACACTGCTGCACTTTTGTGCACAGTTCTACATTTAAAATTCATTTCTGTTCAGTTGAACTACTCTTTTTTACCTATCTATGGAAATACGTTAATACTTCACTCAACATTTATGCTTAACTTTTGATTCATCTGCGTAGTTATTTATTTTTTTGTTGTTGCGTAAATTCTTCTATACAATTAAAGTGATCTAAGCTATCTGTTTATAATAACAGTGACACTCCATCTTCATAATTAGAGTTAATTCTCCAGCTATTGAAATGTAGTGAAGACTAAGCATATTGAGTAACTCTTACCAATTAGACTAGTTCAGTCTTCAATTCTTATTAAGCCGACAGTCTTCTGCAGTCTGAACAGTCTTGATAGTGTCAAACATGGTGCATACACTCCATGTCCCTATGCTTACTTTTGATTTTTACTGCGAAAGCTTTCACTTCTTGGTATCACTCATTCTCGAATTGTGGAATCTTTTTGATCCCAAAGATGAATAAGTTTGTTTTTCCTATGCTATGAAGTTTCAGTAGTGATGAGGTTATTTTTCACAGGGTGGATCACTACCCTTACACCCAAACGTTTTTCTTTTCTGATCTCTTCACAGTAGGCTACTTTCATTATTAATTGCCTTCTCTAGATTCTGCAGTTTAGATGGCTAGAAAGGATAAACAGCAAAGAACTCTGACAGCGAACCAGTCAAGAACGTGTTGCTTATCATGTATGGAAATAGATTGCAATACATGCAGATTTTCAAGTGACATCGTATTCCAGGCTTTCGAATGGGATATGGAATGGAAAGAGATCGATTGTGTGTTTAAGGAGAACATGGAGCAGATCATTTGAGGAGGCACTGAAAGCTTGTAGGCAGTAGTGGAGCTAGTTGAAAATGATTGCAGAGAAAATGTGCTGCTTGAGCTCTATGTTTCACTTAGAGAAGAATAAATTTTAGTTTTACTATGTGTATAACTGAGTGTTCTTATTTATGTGAACTTTAAGCTGAAATATGTGTGTTCCTTTAGAGTAGATGTGATAATGTGTTCCAAGCTGTAGTTCTCTGATTTTGTTTTGCTTATCCGCGTGTTTAGCTGAGTTTATAACAAAATAATCCTACAGAAATGTTTAACTGTTTTTCTTATAGATCATTCGTTTTTTTACCTATTCTCTTTCTTACTGTTATTATTTTAGACGAAGATATAAGCCGACCAATTCGTGATTCTTTTCTGCATGCTGAACACATTCGTAAAAATGGGACAGGATGGAGTTCATCCCAACCTGGTGTATCTAATGAGTGAGTATTAACAACATTAATATGACTAATTACGATTTGAATTTCGTCATAAATTGAGGTCATCTAGAAAATCAATAAAAACCGAGGAGTTCTGGACAGCTGTTTGGTCATAGGCCGGAACTATCCAGCGGCGTGCTTCCATACTCCTATCAGGGATCGAAAGCAGGACCTTCAGGGTGCACTAACTCAGTCTATCGCTCACTCAACCACCATGTTGGAATCCATTGACCTGTGGATTCTAACTCCTGCCAACTCTTCATACAGCGCCACTGCCAACCGCTACAATGGATGAGCACTCACTTCACATCCGACAGAATAGTTCTTATCCTTGTCGGATCTTGGTTGCCCATGTCTCCCAAGTCCCAAAGTACGACCAAATAGCTAATTACTTTCCCATAAGTAATGTTAGTTCTTAAAGAAATCAATATTTAAGTCATTTTTATTGATTGAGCAAATAAGCAATCGAATTTCCTTTCTATGTTGTTGTTTTTATTATTATTTTTTCTCGATTTTGTACATAATTCTTATTATCATCAACTTATCTGGTAAATACTTTATGATGGTAAGATTTCTTTAATGATTATTCATTTTCTGTAAAAAAAAATTGTCAATATACTATCAACTAGAAAAAATAACTTTATACTCTAGGCGATTATGTTGTCCCTTTTTATGAAAAAATAATCAAATAGTAAATGTCAAATATAGTAAGTCAGATGTAATCTAAATTTATCAAAATAAAAATAAACATTATAGGAATTCTTTAAAATCAACTTATATGTAGTAATTTCATACTTTTAACAAATACTAAAAGTTCAGCATCCCTGATGACTGGAGCTGTAGCTCATAAGCTTAACCGCGTGACTTTCAGTCTTCGGGTTCGAGTCCCACCTCGCCTATTTCAGCCTGGCAAAGGCTACCCGTCTTTTACCACAGATGCTTACATCCTCTCTCCTGTGTTAAGTAGTATAATGGGGTGTGCAATACTGAGTTTAGGCGTAGAGACTGTGAAGCTACATCGATTGAGATGCCTAAGGTATACGTTGAGCATACCAAGCCAATCCCTTCCTCGGCAGGTAATCTTAGCCGACATAGGATCAGGCTAGAAAGGAACTATAGGTAGTCAGTTCGTGAAGTCTTTGACATTGGTTTCAGTTATCCACACAAGGACGTGTACACTATCCGGCTGAGATCCTCAGGATGCTAAAAACCGAAGCTTGAGGACTGTTCGGTGATATGACTCAATATCGTTCTCAATGGTATGGATGCATTTACTCTTTGTGGCCTCCTATTTCCATGTTACTAGTATTTCTCCCTTATTATAGTTTTTTTTGAATTTTTTCTTTTGCCTTTGTATACTTCATAGAGTGTGGCGACTTGAACTGCTGTGGACTTCTGTACAAAGTTCTGTGCTGAATTTCAGTCAGTCAACATGAACCACTGGGTAGTGTTAATATCCGTTGCACAGTATATGTAACTCATTCCCTATGTTCATGAAAAATCTATTCTTGGTAACAGGTTTTTCTAAATAAATAACATCAATCAGGAAAATGTGATATAAAGACTAATAAGAATGATAATAACTGTAATAATAATAATATAAGTCCTTACTTAAAGAATTCAACACGTAAGAAATAAATTAATCCCTTTTAAATGACATCTAATATATATAAATACGCTGGATGCAATAAGTAGGATAGAATGATATGTGAGTACACAGAGTTATTATCTAGAGAACTATGCATTGCATTAAAGCTTAAGAAAGACAAATATAATTTACTACAGAAAATCTTATCTCACTATATGAATTACTTCTTTCTATGAGTTTCTTTTTTTTCTGCGTCATCAGGAAATTTTCACAACTTCCGCTATTACTACTACTTCATTGTTATTACTATTATTATTATTACTATAACTATTATGAGTCCTCTTGTAGCAAGCACTAAGCAGCGAAAATCAATTCATCAAAGATTATATTTCTATAAGGAAATGCAGTAGAAGAAACTAGATATCTTTGAGATGGATTTATAATGGTAATTTAAGCAGAAATATTGATAAACTGAGTAGTAGTAGTGTTTGTAATAGAAAAAACCAACCAAACAAACAGAAGGATAGAACATAGAAATTCAAGACTGAAGTGAGTGTATTTTTAACAATTCAATCAGAAGAATATTTGCACTTCACTAAATCTCTTTAAGGTAGGATAACGAAATTAATCTAAGATGATTATGCTTTAAATATTAAAACAGAATAATGCTACTCAAGTATGTATATATATCCATGCTTAAGTTTCGATACAATGTTACAAACTAATTAAATGTGAATTGATGACGCTTTTATTTTATTACATTGCCTGATATGCATCGAAAGTGTATCTGACTATGCAGTGGCGGGGTATATGTGCGTGTGTGTGTGTGTGTAGCAGTTCAGTGTATCGAACTTTACTTCAGGCATTTCATGTGAAAATCTAGTGAACTGGATACAAGAGACTTGTCTGACTTCAGCAAAATGTGGCGATTATTCATGTGCGTCGTCGGCACAGCGGTTAGGACTCTCGCCGACCATGCACATGGTCCGGGGTTCGACCCCCTGCCGACACACACTTGATATCTATGGTCGGCCTGCAAAATTTGGGCAACCGATATCATATGCTGAAACTTTCATACTTGTACCTAAACGCACTGTGTGGAATCAAGCTGTAATCAAATTAAATTAATTAAAAAAATTAAAATTAAATATCCAGTTCTTTACTACAAGAAGAGTATTGTGCCTATCTGTTAAGCTTTTTCATGCTGTATGACTGAAAAATATGACTACTGTAGGTGAAGGACCTGATGAGAAATCATGTGCATGTTGTCATCGCCTTTTTTAGCTATTAGTAGCATTTGCTAGAACCATCAATTAAATAATCTGTGAGCTAAATGTGGAATCCTAATTTAGTTAAGCCTCTTTTGACGTCACATACTAGTGGGAGTTAAAAAAAAGAAACAAAGACCGACATAGACGTGCAGCTAATCTATGGGCGTGTTCTCTGTTGCTCTAAGCTGAGTAGGAAAGTCTACATTGTCTGATTAGAGTCCCACTGGTCACCCGAATTAACTGTCGAAAATCCCTACAATTCTAAAATATGTATATTAATAATCATAATAGTAATAATACAGTTCGGTTAGGAACTGACATCAACTAGAGAACCATTGAAAACCATGGAGTTAAGCGATAATTGTTTCCTCTCAATTTCAAACTCATCTACAGTATCCACTCATGTCATGTCCCACTGAGGATATAACCCAGAACCTTCAGGTTACAAGATATACCCATTGACCAATCAGCATACTGCTGAAAAGTCAGAAACTAGGAAGAAATCGCTAACCCGTACGTACTGCCTAGTTTTTCAGTGGTTCACAAATTGGTGTCATTTTGTTATCTAACTGGAAACCAACCAAGACTTTGGAAATACTAATCAATCCTTGTGGATAATGATACTTAGCAAAACCCATTCGATTTATTTGGCTGTATAAGTCAAGTGTTGTATTGAATTTCAAAATGAAGTATAATTCAGGTGGGGATGTACTTGTGTTGTTTTTTATTATTTCTACATCTTTGAAGAGGATGGTTCAACAAGAGATTGAAGTGGCTTGTAGATTGGATAAGTATTGGATAACGTTGAAGAAAAAATATATATATGAGGATAGATTAATTGTTTCATGAGTGATTGATTCGAAGCAGTACGAAAACACTAAAGATAAGAGTAGTACGTATGACAATATATACTACTGAATGCTTGATATGAGTAGTTGTGTACTATATACATCAATCAATAGTGCCTTCTAGCTAGATCAAGGTGACCTAAACACTGAATAGCTGTTTCTCTCGTGTAAGGCTGAGTTCGCCAGTTCAGACCAAATCTCGGCTAGCTGCTTGAGCGAAGATACTACCTTGAATAAAAATCACAATTTACACAGTTCGAGTTGAAATCTCAACACAGATTCCCTCGGAATTTAGAAACTGTTCAGATCACAATAGGTAATTTGTTCGATACCATAAATGGCAACGAAGAAACAAAACATAAATGCATCACACTATATACTATCGGTTGATTAAGATGAACAGTTGTGCACCACCTACATCAACCGTTATTGGTTACTAGCCAAGTCGAGGTGTTCTAAACATCGGACAGTCGAATCGCTCGTTTGAGAACCGAACTTATCAGTTATATACAACTACTTATATAAATCATTCTGTAGTATGTAGCTTCATGTATCTATGCTTATTTTTTTGACTGCCATTTATGGTATCAAGTAGACTATATATTGCAATCTAAATAATTTCGATTTCTTAAGGAAAGCGTCTGTCTGTCTGTTTTCGACATAGAACTTTGTACCGATGTGTGGCAATTCAAGTCACCTCACTCCATGTAGCACACAAAGCAAGATTAAAAAGTAGAAAAAAAATGCATAATATAGACAGTAAACAGAGGTGTGAGACAAAGGAATAGTAATAACGAAGAACAAAACAGTTTCATTGGAAATCAGAAGTCACAAGGAGTGGATGCATCTGCGCCACTGAGGACGATTTTGAGCCATGTCACCAATTGTTTCCAACCATTGGTTTTTACCGTCCCGAGGACCCCAACCAGGAAGTCTACACCTTCCTACGTGGCTGGCTTAAACTAACTGTTGTGGATTTCATTGACTGATGAAGTCATATTTTCTTTTGACCGCCGCTAGCTCTTTTCCAGCCTGACCGTATATCAGCTAACATTGACCGTCGAGGAAGGCGATGACTAGACATACGTAGCACATGTCCTAACCAACTCAGTCGATGTAATTTCACAGTCTGGTCTATTGATTTCGCCGCCTTACCTATCACTCGACGCCTAACCTCAATATTGCTCACCTTATTATACCACTTCACGCGGGAGATAGAACGCAGACACCTATGATCAAAGACACCTAGCCACCCTTTCCATGTCTTCCACTTTCAATGGCCATGTCTCACTGCCA